TGCAAGTTTAGTTTCTTTAACCTATCCTGATATGGAAGGTTTCTAAGTCCCGGAATCATTTTCGTCATTCTTTGCTGCACTGACTCTAGTGAATTGATATCCATTCTATAATAAGGGCACCAGAACTGAACCGCATAATCGAGGTGCGGCCTGACTAGCGCAAGATATACCCTGTAGTTGCAATAAGACCTCTGCACTCTTATTACTTACACTACTAGATATAAAACCCAATACTCTGTTTGCCTTATTTCGAACATTAACGCACTGTTTTCTAGGCCGTAGGTCCGGGCTTACAAGTACCCCTAGGTCTCTTTCACAAGTCGACTTCTCTAGGTTGATGTTGTTAAGGCTGTATACATTATAAGTATTTGTTCTTCCAATATTAAGTACGCTGCACTTGCTGGTGTTGAATTTTATTTGCCATTTTTCAGACCACCCCTGCAGTTTATTTAGATCCTCCTGTAATGCATTTGCATCCTGCCCTGAATTAATCTGCCGCCCTATTTTGGTGTCATCCGCAAACTTGCTTATGTCACTGCTGATCCCAGTATCTAGATCGTTTACGTAGATTATGAACAAGAGTGGGCCTAGTACTGACCCCTGGGGAACCCCACTGGTTACACGACCCCACTCAGATTTAACACCATCTATGCTGACCCTCTGCGTTCTATAGGTGAGCCATGATTTTATCCAATTTAAAACTTTCCCCTCGATATCATGAGCCTTAATTTTTCTCAGAAGCCTCTGATGCGGTACTCTGTCAAATGCTTTGCTAAAGTCTAAGTAAATAACATCGTAATTTTCGTCATTATCTACTACCTCGAAGACTTTCCTAAAAAATGTCAGCAGATTTGTTAAACAAGATTTTCCCTTTGTAAACCCATGTTGAGAGTCATAGATTAATTTGCTTTTCTCTAAATGCGATCGGATGTTATCTGCTATAATTGATTCAAGAAATTTCCCCACTACTGACGTCTAACTGATAGGACGGTAATTTGACGCTGATGCTCTGTCTCCCTTTTTGAATATGGGTACTACATTTGCCTGTTTCCACAAGTCTGGCACAACTCCAGTGTCTAATGATTTTGTAAATAAGTTTAAGAGGGGTCCGCTAATCTGTTCCCTACACTCTTTCAAGACTCGAGGGAAAATTTCATCCGGCCCTGGGGATTTTGTCTTCTTTAGTTTATTTATCTTCTTAAGAACATCCTCTTTTCTGATAGTGATATTCTTTAATTCTCTTCTTCCTTTCCCTTAAATATCAGTTCCACCTCTGGAATTTCATCGCGAATTTCCTCTGTAAAAACTGATAAGAAGTAGCTGTTCAATGCTTTGCTTATTTCTCCACTGCCATTTATCACTTCTCCCCTCCCTGACTTTAAAGGCCCAACTTTGTCCTTGACCTTTGTTCTATATACCTGGAAAAATCCCTTGGGATTCGCCTTGGATTCTCTTGCTATTTTGATTTCATTGTCTCTCTTTGCTCCCCTTACATTTTTCTTAACGTTCCTAGATAGTTCATTATACCTATTTCTGAGCTGCTCCTCCCCTCCCTTTAATTTCTTATATATTCCTTTCTTTATTCCTATGTCATGTTTAAGTTTTCTGGTCATCCACCTTGCCTCATTCTTATTTGACCTAATTTTTCTGTATGGTATATTTTGTTCTTGTGCTTTATGTAGTATACTAGTAAATATATTATAGTCATGATCAATTGTTGTGTCATGATCAATTGTTGTGTCATCTATGACCTCACCCCTTCCTACTGGTGACTGATGTGACTGTTCCCAGGTGACTTCACCTGGGTACCTTCTTAACCCCTGATAATCCGCCAACCGAAAGTTTGGGACTCTGACCATATTGTCATTGTTTTTCGTTTCCCAATTTAGGGTGAACCTGATTTCTCTGTGATCACTGTTACCTAGTTCTTCCCCAACTGTGATATCTCTGATAATATTTTCTTTATTTGTTAAAACTAGGTCTAATATATTGTCACCTCTAGTAGGTTCTGTAATTAGTTGTTTCAAAAAATTGTCCTGTACTGCATCTAGGAAGTCTTCAGATTCATAGTCACCTACAATGTTGTCCCAGTCAATATTTCTAAAGTTGAAATCCCCCATAATGCACAGGTTGCTATATTTTGCTGCCCTACTCATTTCCTGCCATATGGGCTGAGCTGCTTCTTTCCCAAGACTTGGGGGCCTGTAAATCACTCCCATAATTAGTTTTTCTCTTCCTTCCGTGATTTCTACCCATACAGACTCGGTTCCTATTTAACCCTTTATTGAATTATTAATACAACATTTTAATGTATCCTTGACGAAGAGTGCGACCCCTCCCCCCTTCCTACCTTCCCTGTCCTTGTGAAAAAGGTTGTACCCTTCTATGTGGTACTCTGATAAAAAAAATTTTGCTCGCCAGATTCATCCAAGTTTCGGTGATTGCTATGACGTCTACATTCTCGGTACATACAACCTCTCTCAGCAAGTCTATTTTATTTCGAACGCTCCTACTGTTTGTATAGTATACATTTAAACCTACCCTTCCCTGGTCCTGTTTTACCCCTTATCCTGAGTAACCAATTTTACTTCCCAGGACCAGCTTGTTTTTTGACTCCCACTTACCCAGACCTCTCTCTACTGGCGAAACCCCCCCTTTGGAGTAACAATTTCACACTCCAAGGATGCAGACAACGTCTTTACCCCCGCACGAGACAAGTGTACTCCGTCACGACTGTACAGGTAGTCGTTGCCATAGAATCGTTGCCAGTTATCAATGAATGCCCAACCATTGTTTGCACAATGTTTTTCCAGTTGGCAATTTATAGCCATTCACGACCAACCCCTATTCTAGGCAAGACACCACATACTATCGGGATCCCTCCCCTATCTCTAATCTTCCCCAGCGCCTCCCTATACCTCTTGAAAAGTTCCTCACTCCTAACCTTTCCTATGTCGTTTCCTCCCACACTAAGACACACTACTGGCTTGGTACCCTCCCCTGACAAAACCCTATCTATCCTCTCAGCTACATGCCCTATCCCAGCCCCAGGAAAACACACCCTAGTCCTACGTTTCCTATCTCTTACACAAAAAGTCCTATCTCAAAACCTCACCTGGCTGTCCCCAACTACCACGACCTTACCTGTGGGCAGGGTTTGTACAACTGCCCTTTCCTCTCCTTGCTCCATACCGTCCTGCCTCTTCTCTTCCTCGCCAGCTTCCTCCAGCACCTGGTAGGGGTTACTACACTCCACACCCTGGTCAACTTTCCCGAGTCTGACCCTAGTCCCCTTGGAGACAACCACTCTCCACTCCTGCTCCTCCTTCGCAGGTGTCCTGCTAGGCAGGACACCTACCTGAAGGAGTCCAGTCCTGAGGGCTTTATTTTCCCCCTTTAGAGTGTCAAGCTCACTCCTCAACTGCCCCAGCTGCCTTAACAGAGTGGCCAGTAGGTCGTCTTTCCTCACACCACGCTCCTCTTCCCCCAAGACACAACAATCCAAGGCGGCCATTTTCCTTGGTCACTAACGGGAGCACTTGGGGCCACGACCTTCTCCAAGCTGGAATGCGGCTACTCAGTTGTAGGGGAGAGATCCACTACAATATATTACTTGTTGCGGATTCACACAGTAAATGACAGTTTTAAATATAATTGAGCTAACGAACACTTGGCAGTAAATTATTTTAATGTGTTGACATCACATTACTGTACAACACAGTACTTGCCTCACTCACATGATTGACGGCGGCGGAATATTCCATGGCGGTAAAGATAGGAGTCCGGCAAGCATCCGCCCAAAACTTTCTCTTTCTCGTTATGTAGTCTGAAAATTAGTTACAGTATGTACAATTATTTTATCATAAGTGGTATGAGGTGTAATATATTTTATCTTAAGATAATAATCATGAAAAATTTTATTGAACAAATGCCATTTTATCATTTATTAAATATTTGTTGTTATTATAAGTTATATTGAATAAAAAGCATTTACAAGTTGCATATAATATGCTTTATTTAGTTATAATTGGTTTTTATTGGTACAGATATGTGAAAACTATTTAGTATTTTTTATTTAAAATTAGTTTTGTATGGTTTTTGTAAATGTTAATTTCTGAACACATATAATAACGGAAAATTCCATGAATCACACCACAGGATATAAGCTGAGACTAACAGGGTTAACTATAGCTTACATTCTTAACATTCCTCAGCTGGTTGTGTGAAATATAAGTAATATGTATGATTCTTATCAGCATACACCGATAATTATTTGTTGATATATTATGTAGCATTGTGCAATACCCAGTGAGGGGTAGCAATTGCTGGTCTTCTGGGAATTAAGCGTTATAGATAAAGTCATCCTGGGGGAAGCTTGACGTGAGCGCTAGAGTGGAATCCAAATCTTCGCCCGTTATGTTGTTTGATAGGTTCCCTGTAACTGATGGTTATCGCAGGTGACCCCTAAATTGTTTACAAACATATTCATGTGAGTCACGTGTTGATCACATGGACGGTGGCCCAGCAGGTGAACACAAGAGGTCGATACGTCTACGTTAGATGCCTAGTGTGGATTTCTTCACACTTATACGTTGTTAACGTAATGTTTATTCCTGAATGACTCATGGAAATGATTATTGTGTGTGATTATTTATACGCATTAATTAATTATTATGGATAATATAAAGTATTGGATGATATTATAATAAAGGTTAACCCATTGGTAGTGTGACACAGAGGTGACCTGTCTAGTGGTGCCCGGCAGTTTGGTTATCGGCACACTAAAAACTGTGAAAGCTACGCCTTCATTAATAAGAATCAAAGGTACAGTTTGATTTCTTATAATACATATAATAGATGTGTAACTTAAATTATACGACATTCATTAATAAAAAAAAAACGACAGTGAAATGCAGTACGGTCTTTTTCCCAGAGGAGGTAGAGTGTCGTGCGCACAAAGCGGCCCAGGCTAGATGGTTATAAATACTGCTGCCTTCAGGCTCGACGTCATTGATTCCCGGACGCTGGTGAAGTGAGCAAGACTCTACAACTGAAATTTACTATAATCAACGTGTTTATAAAGAATATCAAGAATAAACACAACTTGCAAGCAGTAAACAACAACAACAGCAAGTCTTCAACAGATTTCTACACCAGTCATACTTGGTCTTTCGTTAGCTAACCAAGAATTCACAATGGCGTCACCGGTGCAAGTATCTGCCCGCGAGGCGGCTCTGTCTGAGGAGCTGACCAGATTTTGGGAAAGCATGGGAAGGAAGTTTGAGCGAGGGCCCTCACACAGAACCTTCACCCCTCTCCAGCGAGACTCCTCGCATCTTTCTTGGGAAAGCCTAGTACACCCCCATGCTACAGTGAGTACCTCGCCACGTATTCAGAAAGTTCAGTTTGAAATATCAAGTAGTTTTAAATGCCAAAAGTGATTCTGCATACTTGTTTTAATACATAGAATATGAATCTGGTTGGGATGCCAGGAGTAAAAACTACTCTGAATTTTCATATGAACCGGCCCAGAGGCCGTCACACCCACGCCTTGGGTTGGTAAACACCCATCACAGGGTGGGTGGGCGTGTGTTCCTTCGCCAAAGGCCGCGCTGAGGTCTTTATAATCTTTTCCTCCTTACATTCCACAAATTTTCAATTTTGCATTAAAACGAACATGTTAATGAAATTAACAAAGTACTATAATTAAAATTATTGCATCCTGAACTAAACTTATATACTTTATCAGCTGACTTGCTAAAACGTCATACAATGTGAAGTAACTACGGAGTAATATAAGGTACATTAGGTTTTGTATCATTGACTTGTTGCAACTTAGTCTGTAGCACCTTGTCCATGGGGAGAGGAATAATGATATTGGTGTTAAATATAGACTTGGAAGATTCCCGAACTGTAATTTGAGTTTATATCAATATGCACCTGTGGAGGATGGCGACACAGTGGTTGCGCGCTTGGCATTTGTCACTGGGTGACTGGACTCTAATCCCAGGGTTGGATTCGATTTTAGAGAAATGTTATCTCTGGTAACACGGAGGACGAGGAACATACGTTTGGGTTTAAATACTCGCATAGATTAAGGTTATTATTATCAGATGAGAAAATTGGTTTCCAGTGTTATTGCTAAGCTTTTATACCAGTGTAAGTTCAGGATATCAATAAGAGCAGGTCAAGCTTGGATGAAAAGGGACTTCTTTTTTTTTTTTAACCTGGATCAGCCCACCCGGGCACAGGTCACTGACCCACATCGGGGGGCAGGTGGGGGAGATACAATAATCATAATAATAATAATTAATAAAAATTATAAATAAAACAATAGTAAAAATAATAACCATAGATACAAAAATATATTTAAGTGAGAAACGACATACATTATGAAAGTTGTGTTAATAGTAAAAGAAACAATTGAGACATTGCAGTTGTGTGTAAATGAGGCTGAAAATCAGATCGGCAACCTGGGACTTGGTCACATTTTTTGTGGTGCCATATGGCAGCAGGGTCTACCATTAGACAATACATTATGCTTCAAATATCTTCCCAGGCGGTAGTACTTCCCTGTTTGGTATTTGCCTTCTACCTCTTAAGTTCTAGCCCTAAGAGGAATTAAAAAATCGGTAGTTTTCCTTCATGCAAGGAATTATTTATTGCTCTCCACTATCATTTAGTACTGTACTGTAATATGGTCGTAATTGAAACCTCTCATCTGCTGGAAAATTGAATGAGACGATGTTTCTCTCATTACTTTGGCAATTTGTTGATTGAAAATAAGGGAGTTGTGTTTATAACACAACTTTGTTCCCCTGTCTCCTGTAGAGAGACACAAGAATATTATATGCTGTTTATCTGTGTCCGGGAGATGTGAATAGGATAACTTGAACAACTAGATAAGGATTTAGCCGAATTTAGTGTATAGTATACGACAAGATCTTAGATGAATTATGGTATATTAACAACTTTGTTGTGGCATAGCTGGATGTGCTTGACCACCTTTTACTTGTCTTAATCGATACTGTACAGCAATAACCATTTCTCTGTTCTGTATTGTTTTCACTTAGCCTGACTATATGAGGTTTACTGCTAACACCAACTAAATTAGATCGTTTCCTGTCCTTGCTTTTTGCTGATGCTGCACTTGATGGCCTTGTAGAAGTCGCTGACGAGGCAGAAAGAAGATGGGGAAAGGTGGGCCGTAGAGGAGGTGTATGAAACACGAGACGTCCACGATACCACAGTAAGTTGGCGCCTACTTTAGGCCTCCTATTGTTGTCCACTTATAAACAGATTCTCAAAGATTCATATGTACAATTTGTTCTGTAAGTAAAGATAAAGTCACGTACAGTACTAAAATATGGTCGAGTGTCTATAATTTGGATGTAATATTAGTAATCTTTGCATTGTAATTTTGGTGTGCCAACTCGATGCATCCTCTTGTTTGCAGTGAGGAGTGAAGTTCAACGTACGAACTTTTGAGAATCTTTTATTTAATGTGTATGGGGATCACAGCATAGATAGGACTCTGGTGGTATTTTCTTAACTATATTTTTATTTTTGATTATTTTTATATTTTAAGAATTTTAAGTAAAATAAAAATCATGAAAATTGAGAACATTAGTTTCTGGTTGTCTGGATGGAATGACATGAAGCATTTGAATTGGAGAACCATAGTAACGTTTGTTTGGCTGTCAGACAATTTAGTGTTGTTCAGTGTACTGTATATTTGTGGTGAGTAGATACTGTACTGTATAAGTAATCCACTAATAAATGTTTGACATTCTTTTCGACATTCCAAGAGCTAAGTTTTCATTCCCTTTGAATCACATATAAAATTTTATATTTATTTATATTTGTTTTCCTTGTAGTAATGTTAATTACTAAATTATATAATAATATTAAACAAAATCCTCAGTCTTTTAAGAGTTTCTTTCTTGTTTTTAGCTGATTAGAAACACCTAAACTTGTACCCCAGAGTAGATTACTATGATTGATACCACAGTTGATTATGGGTGAACGTGTTTAATAAAAAAATAGATAGGAATTAACGAGTGGGTTTAGAATTTCAATTTGAGGGTTACCAATGAGTTAGAGGTCTAGAAAATACTGGTTATAGGTTTATAAGTGGGATAGGTGTATGTGAGTAGGGAGGGAAGTAGATGGGAAGTGTGTACTGTAAGTTAAGTTAGGGTTTGTATGTTGGTAAGTCGCCGCTCGTGCACCTTCTCCTTTGCAGACTCCCGGACTCCCTGGCACACCGAGACTATCTCAACATCTGAGTTAATCTCGAATGAGCCTCTAAGTAACGTGAATGCTTGCATTTGTTCACCATGCCACAGGCTGACTGGTCTGGATACCATTCATGTAACAACTTTTGAAAATGTTCCATAACATTTAATTCTTAAAAGTACAGTAAAAGAATATGGCAATCTTTTAAATGGTTATTAGTTGTGCTTTGGGTCTGGTGAGGCTTAGGGAAACCGTTAGAAGACCATGCAAGAGGACCCTAGAACAACAGCCACCCAACTTCATCGCCCTGAGGAAGATGACCCACAAAAACCTGTTTGGGACGGTTGTACTCCCAGCCATCACCAGACCTGATCCACTCAACCTTTAAAAAATAAACTAAAACACGATTCACTCTACCTCATCTTTCTTTTATTTGACTAGAATCTTTTGATGCTGTATTTGAGTGAAGAGAATTTTTATTTGCATTGAAGGTGGTTCTATTTTTTTTTTTTAAACAAGGATTCCAGATCAGTAGCTAAAGCTTTAAAGACATTGCGTGCCATTTTATCTAATGGTTCAGAATTATTGAAAAAAAAATATTTGTAAGCACAGCACTTAAGTAACATAACATTCAACTCAGTGATTGTATTATGAATGTGCATTAAGTTGAAATACCTAAAAAAAACACTACACTGTACCTGTTAGTCATTCATTGTGGTTAATAAAATTGCATCACATTGTTGAACGTAATGTAGTTATTCATTTGTGAAAAAAAATCAAAGAATTTAAAGTTATCACATTACAGGTAAAAAAGGAAAATAAAAATTTATAGTGTGAATATAAGTCAAAATAAGGTAATGCTTAGAGTAATCCAATAGAACAACTCATCGGTTGGGTCGACAATGAAACTTGGTAATCCATTAGCAAGTTTGATGTTTCCCCACCAATACAAAACACTACCCCGAACACACACTTACTGTACTCGCTCTTTCAGCTCGAGGAATGTGAAATTAGGTCATGTGATGTTTGTTTTGTGGATGGGAGTTGTGTTGGGGATGTGCCTGCCCAGTACAGGATCCAGGGCCTGCAGCCTCACGAGCGACCTGTGGTGGGAACCTATGTCGACCCGGCCATTACTGTGGGCTTCTGTTATCAGGTCCGACAAGCAGACTCCACCAAGCTTCTCTTTAAGGTATTGTCCGGGTGTTAAATCATGATATTTTAGAATTATGTCTAAGACTGCCATTCATCATTGTGAAATGAAACACAGGGCCAGTTTTATACAATAAATTAATGTGACCCTGTTTTCCAATGGGATTGTATTTATGATCTACCCTTGTTCTGTTAACAAAGTGTAAGATTCGGATTTACTGTACTGTATGCAGCTTGTCTATAAACAAAATTACTTATGGTGAATATTTTTTTATTTCATTGCCTGGTATAACTACAGTAATACATGCTCCAATTTATTTTACTTTGTGTTGCTAGGCATTCACATTTACTGTGTAATAATGTACTTCTCTATGATACAGACTAATGATCCTAACCCTTTCCAGGGCCAAGCTCTACGCTTGTTGTCTGTGGGGATGGGTTACGGCAAGAGGATCACCTTTATCAGCAGCTCTCACAATGTTAACAACAACTATTTCTGGTCAGACAGTTACCCTGAGGGGTACGGCTTCAGATTGTGTGTTGTACAGGAGGGAGAAAAATTTACTCTAAGAGATGCTAATGATGTACCTGTGGCTACAGTAGAGGCCATGAAAATTATGGTGTGTACAATTTTGAGTCCAAAAGTTGTTAAGAAACTATTTGGAGATATGGGTTTGACAAAATGGCTGCATTTTAGTTAATTTGTAGATAAACATATCTATTAGTACAATCCCCTTTGAAAACTCTACAGGTATATTCTTCATTTTTTATACATGTAGTACATATATGAGAAAATATACAGTAGGTGAAATACTCTATAGTATTTTAACATTATCTGTAGACTAGATTATTGTACATTTAAAATTTATATTGCAGAAGTACAGTAAAATTTTAAACTATGCATGTCTTTATTCGCAGGGATCCCAAGTGGAGGTTGGTCACCACATCTTTAATGACGGTGGAGTTGAAAAGCAAGCTAAAGTGTCACTCCTGTGCAAGGTCTCTTTCTTTGATGAGACAAGCATGGATCAGGTGCTTGTGGTGAAAGGTGTGGCTGTGGCAGTTAAGGCCAAAGGTTCTAGAACTGTTGCTACGTTGAAGAAAAGTAAGAAGCTTCTGCTAAGAAGTACAGTACAAGGCTGTATACCTTCTGTATGTCAAGTGTTTAAACTTTCAAATAATACAGTATACTGTACATGTGTACAATACCTACTTGAAATTTTTAATGGAATTTTATTATCACCGGATGGCATTATGTAATAACATTGAACCACAGTTTTTCGCCAGTATTGCCTAAATTTTTTTTTAAGTACTGTACTGTTTACTGGACATACATACTGTGCATATAATACTGTATTCAGTTATTTCCAATATATAGTACAGTACATGTATGAAGATTTTAATATTGTACATATATTGGATAAATGCAAAAGTATTTTCATAATTCCCCTGCACTGTATTACTTCTGTTTTCAAGTGAAACTGGTAAATACCCTGTCTTAAATTGTTTCCATAGTTAAGGAGTGTAGCTTGGGTGGAGAGCGTGGGTATACACTGGTCCCCGGTACAGATGCCTCAACCATGATTGCTGTAGTTAATGGAGAAAAAATTGGTGATATCCCAATTAAGTACTCTGTTAAAGGTAAATATTGCTCTTGCCTGTTTGCATTTGCCTAAAGAGTCCATCTCTTCATCAAGCTGTCAATTTCTGTGATTATTTCTTGTTGCATGTGTTGTACTGTATGCTGTTGATCACTGTTGTTAAGTTATTAATTTAGTATGGAGATATATTTATTAATTATTTTGTTAACAATGAGCTAAAGTTCTCAGGTTATTTTGAGAATATGAATCTTGTCTTTAAACTAGTAGGACTTACAAGAAGATCCAAGTTGCACTGTATACTTAAGATACAGTACTGTTGTCTGTCTCTTAAGGCTCTTCATAAGTGTTGTGCTTCTTCACCTGTGAGTACAGTATATAATTATGTTTGGTCCCCAAGTTACACCAAAGACTACCAATTGATTAAGAATGTGCAAAGGAGGGCTACCAAACTGGTGCTGCACATGTCCTAAAAAAAATTCCTAGGATGACTACAGTAAATGAATTTTTCAATGTTTCATTTTCTGTACAGTAGACAGTGCAATTAACTTCACTTTGACAAGTAGCAACACTTTAACCCATTTTTCAGGTCTTCTGCCCCACGAGATGCCGGTGGTTGGGACATATGTAGATCCACGCATTCTCACAGGGTTCAGGTATCGCGTCCGTGCCACTGATTCCAAGAGGCCGATGTTCAGTGGTGCTGCTCTTACTCTTCAAGCTATAGGCCGTGGATATGGTAAACGGCTAACTTTTGCAAGTGATAACCTTAACAACAATGAAAATTATTTTTGGAGTGACTCAAATCCTGAAGGTTATGGTTTCTCCATTCAAGCCATCAGTCCTGGTGATGATTTCAAGTAAGATTGCTTTAAAATTTATTATTTTAAAATGACTGTACTGTACAGTATATTATTAGTGAGAGTACAGTACAGCATGCTGTTACCCAGGGCTGGATAAAGATGTAACCACCATGTCTGCACAGTGGCAGATCCAGGAATATCAAAAGGGGGGGGGGGATATCCAAGAAGTTGTGGGTGGGGGAACATGGCGAGCATAGCGAGCCCACCCAGCTGAATTGAATCGGTTTATTTAGCCAGAAAAACCGATACAGAGTGGATAATAATAACAATATTAACATGGCGGAGCCAGTTGAGAATCTGAGCTCTATTTTAGGCTCCTGATATATACTATACATTTATCTTAATGAAGTATTATGTAACGGTATCATCTGGAATAGTACAATAGCATGGTGGTAATAAGAAAGTCTCCTTATGTTACCATGGTTATCATTTCAATATTTATTAATTTTATTTATTTATTATTATTTTAATTTTTTAGTTTATTTTATTTATTTATTTATATATACATAAATTACAGTGGAATTGAAAAACATAAGTATAATGGGGGAGCAGTACAACATGGGTTGTACAGTAATAAGGTTGAACAAGAGGACAGAGCTGTCAGGATTATGTCTAGTTGGCAATTATGTTTATTGCAATGGTAATTACTTTTCTATTTACATGATAATTTCTGATAAAACGGTTTTGATGGTACAATAAAAGCTAGTACTGTAAATATAGGAAGTGTTACAAGAAATATTAATACTTCAACAATAGATATTTTTAAAGAGTTGATTTAAAGGAAGGGAGTGTAGTCTTTGCTCGGATGGGTGGGGGTAAGTTGTTCCACACCTTCACACCGTGAAATTTTATGGAGGTCTGGGACTGAGAGGAGTGCATGGGGGGTGGTCTTAGTAGCTCTGGGTGCATTAAGTTGTATCTCTGATTATTCTGGAACTGGAAATAATTATTGTCAAGCAAGTGATTGATAGATTTGTAAACAAAGAGGGCACAGCAGTAGGTGTGGGGGAGGGGGTGCTGTAAGCTCCTCCCTCCCCATTTTGTTTTGAAATCTGATCAATATCATTGCCATTTTGAGGCCATGTGCACTTGATATTAGGAGATATTCTGAGGTCATCAGTATTTACTTTTTACTGTATTAAAATGCATTAGTACAATACATGTACTGCAATATAGAAAAGGTATGGGAATTTTCTGATGAAAAGGGGAATCTGGACCCCCCCCCCTCCCTGTGCTGGATCTGCCCCTACTGTGATTTGTGGGCATTATGTGGTCATAGTTGAATTTTGAAGTCTTTTTGCATGAAATTTTTTAAAATTAGCAGAATCTATTCTACTTCCAGCCTTTGGGGAAACCAATTTTCCAAAACCCACCATCCATTTTTTCAGCCACATATACAGTGATCCCTCGATTAACGAACGCAATTGGTTCCACAGAGTCGTTCGTTAACCGAAAATTTCGTTAACTGAATCTATTATTTCAATGGGTTGTTGGATAATTGGTTCCAACCCACAGAAAAAGTGCATACAAAGTACTGTATACCAGTAATAGAATTAACAAAACATTAACTATAAACTAAATACAGTACTGAACTGTACAATAATAAATAAAATAATAGAATAATGTATTTTAACTTTGAGGTGTGTATGTCATATTACTGGCAGCTTTGTTTACATATCAAACCTCTGATTGTAGAGGCAGTCGGTGATGACATGCCATATTCTTTACAGAGTGCATTGGTTCTAATGCCTTCTACATGTTTCATAATAATTTTTGCCCTGTATATTATCAATATGTGAACTAATTTTCGGAATGACCAATAGTTTTAATGTAAAAATGCAAAAACATTCAAGAGACCAACAAACTAGATGTTCACTCAACTGTAAACAAAGTTAAACCGAGACGTGTTGGTGGGTGATTCGATCAGCTGATTGGCAAACAAAAACTGTTCCCTTTACTGTATATGTTAACTAAATTGGAAAGACCAATAATTTTAATATAAAAATTGCACAAATATTCAAGAGCACAACTTTCTTGATATTTACTCCACTGGAAATGAATGTAAACATATAACCAATTACTGTATTGGCCAATCAGCTGATGCGCACAACAAAGCGTCTCTCGTAAGGCTTTCGTTAATGGAATTGAAAATCCTTATGGGAGCTAATTCGCTAACCAAAATTTCGTTAATTGGACCGTTCGTTAATCGAGGGACCACTTATATATATATTTTTTATTTTGCATTAAAATTCTCAGTTCAGTACTAGAGATTTTTCTCACAAATCTGATTGAGCTGAATATTTTCAAGAAACTCAATTTGAATATAGTTTTCATTATTCTGTTCAAATTCCATTTACTGTACCTGTTCTCCTCTATATACGTATTAAAGTCCTGCTCTGCAGGCTCTCCACCAGCTCTTCATTTTATTTATTGAAATGTGAATCCTCACTAATACTGTATTGAAAAGTGTCCAAAGTTATTCATTGTAACCATAGAATTTTCCCATAGAATAATCAGTTCATCTGGGAAGGACTTGGGTCGTGCACGAGTGTTCAGAGCCGATGCCCCACAGGTGGAGGAGAGCTACAATGTTTCTTCTGAAGGTCATGTGACGAAGCGAGTAAGAGTCACTGTCACTTGTGATGTTACATTCCTTGGAGAAGATCATACCCTGGTTGTTACTGGTATGTGGTAAATCTTTTGCTACTCTCTGTTTATAGTTTAGTAAATATAATATTAGTGATAGAGAAAACTGCAATTGTACCATAAAATTTTGGGTATCATATTGGGTTGCCTCGAGTCTCTCATGCAAGTTGTATATTAGAGATATTCAACATGTAATTGATTCGCTCTTTCTAAGTGCATTACCGGAGTTTTTCTAATATATTATCCCCCTTTCATAAGAGGCCCCTCAAGACAGCCATTTGTTTTCCCCATGTCACTTCATACATCACCCCAGGTGTATAGTGTTGTAGTTTAAAAATTACAGTATTAGAATACAGGTACTGTACTGTACGGTGTTGTATGGAGGATTTAATAATTCATAATACATGTTATATGTTACAGGAACAGCTGTGGTAGTCCGCCGTGGACGTGTGGCCTGTGTACAGAGGCTGGAAGATGTAGCACTGGGGTCACAAATTAATATTCTCTTCAGGCATACTAGTGAGACGATATTATTTGTTCGGCAGTAAATCCCCATCAAATTTAAATTTTTATCACATGATGGTGTAGAAGTAATTTTGCATTCACCATAATAAGATTGATCTGATTCCGAGGCCAGGCAGCACTAAGAGGCTTTTGTTATAATTGTATGTACATTTCATGTTAGGCCTGTAAATAACCGTACTTTTGCTTATGTTATTTATGACTGTGATATTGGGGGAGGTCTTAAAAACTTATCTGAACTGTCAAACAGGTACTGTACATGAATAATATGTCTTTATTATATTATTCTCATATCTCTACAAATACTGTACCTGTATTGGACGTGCACTAAGTATTCTCCTTGACAAGTGATATTAATCATTGGCATGCCATGTCACTCTACCTAGCTATGTTAAGTTGTGTATTTATTTTGTTACTGTGAATTATTTTTGTGCTGTGAAAATAAATATTCCATTTTTACTAAAATTATTGAATGAAACCAAGACTATAGAAAGATCAATTTCCAGCAACATTGCAAAGAGTAATTATCATAAATAAGTACAATGCTGTACAGTATTCTTTTATGAAGTACAACCGGATGATTTCTCTAGAAAGTATGTTGGCACTCGGGTGTTTGTCAAGTAACAGAAATTGGGCAGTGAATTTGTCTCCAAGGTTGTTCTGGTGAAGCAAATGTGTTACATCAGTATGGCGAGTTAAAGGTCAACTTCATGGGGGGAGTGAAGCACAAATTTTGCTTGGACACAACCAAAAAATTAGTGCCACATATTACACTATAGTAGAAGTACAGTACAGGGTATGAAGATTTAATTATGTGTGATTGATTCACCATCCATGGGAGAGCCTGAGAGAGTGGTAATAGCCCACCAGGGCACAGGTCATCGGGCAAGACAAGTGTTACAAGCCCATGGCCTCGTCGGCGGTACACAGATTGCCATATCCACCAAACATTGCCCTTAAAGTACCTGTAAAAGAGAGCGTGAAGCAACATTTCGGGAGTCGGCTTTAGCAATGTTGAGGATGTGTGGCTTCCATGACATATTAGAAGAAATGGTGAGGCCAAGCATATCTATTTTAGAATTTGGCAGAATGATTGTATCCTGAAATGTGATTGGTGGGAGATCATCTAATTTGGAAAGTAATGGGTAAATACCTGTACTGAGTTTTATTACTAATGAATTTAACCAAGTTTTTACCTCCCCATTTGGAGATGCTGCACAGATCTGCATTGATAGATGTAATGATATCAGCTCTAGAAACAAATCTAGTTTGAGAATTATGGGGAAGGGAAAATGTGAAGAAGAGTGAAGAGTAGAGTCATCAGCGTAAGAATGGATAGAATTCGTCAGTGTGAAGTAAATAATTGATAAAAAGGGAGAGAGTAGGTGAAAGAACAGAACCGTGTGGGACACAACTATAGGCAGAGAAAGAGCGAGAGATCGATCCATCGACAACAACTGCCACATCGGTGCTCAAGGAAGCTAGAAATTAGAGAACAAAGTGGGAGAGGGAAACCATAAAAGGGAAGTTTAGAGAGCAAAGACTTGTGCCATACCCTGTCAAGTGCTTAATATCCCTGAATACCTATTTTCTTACCTTATTTACTTTATGGCCACCCAAGCCAGGCCAAGTGAAGTACTGTATAACATTAGGCCAGTGTAGGGAGGAATGTGGAGTGGTCCCACTACACTGCCATGTGGTACCCCACATGTCACAGGTAACCATGAAGATTTCGTGCCATTAATCACCATGTATTGCTTGTGGTCAAGAAGAAAGTCTGATCTATGCTAGGACACCCCTGAATTACATACTCACCCAGTTTAATTTTCAGCATTTCAAGAGGTAAGCTGTCGAATGCCTTAGTAAAGTCTAGATATTTATCATCAATATTGTCACCACTCTCCAGGATCTGTAATTATGTTAAGCAAGGGTGTCCAGGCATAAAACCGAGTTGGCATTCCCTAACGAGGTTGTTTTGTAGTAGTATGTCTATATGTTTGTCTGCCTATCTACGTCTCAATACATCTTCTCAACATATCAGAGATAGGGCTCTCAATAACTACAGTACAGGGATGTTATTTTCCATCGTTTTAGGCGACCCACGTAAATCACGTGGATGATTTTTTTTTTAGGGGAGGGGGTGTTATGACCATGACGAGATAATTATTTGACAATAATTGACCATCGAGGGTGGATGGGTCTGCCACACGAGGATGATGAGCCAGTATATTGAGTATAGTGGCCGCATTCTACGTGTTCGTGCATTACATCATCATACAGAAACTCTATTTCTCATTGGCTGAGTATTGTTTGTTTTGCATTCCATTTTTCGATTCTTCAGTATTTCATTGACCAAAGATCAATGACGTCATACAACGCCACTATTAGAAGCATCATAATCTGCCCCTCCACCCTCCCCCACCACCACTGGCGGGGGAGGGGCTAAGCATTTTCTATATAACTAAGTTTCTATAATCATTTTACACTTTCTGATGATCACAATTTATTCCATAACCCATGCCATATTTCATAGTTGAATAGGCAACTCAGTAGGGCGTGTGTGTCCCCCAGGAGGTCAGGGCTGTAGGGCATGATTGTGTGTCCCAGGAGGTCAGGGCTGTAGGGCATGATTGTGTGTCCCAGGAGGTCAGGGCTGTAGGGCATGATTGTGTGTCCCAGGAGGTCAGGGCTGTAGGACATGATTGTGTGTCCCAGGAGGTCTGAGCTGTAGGGCAAGTGTGTGTGTGTCCCCCAGGAGGTCAGGGCTGTAGGACATGTTTGTGTCCCCAGGAGGTCAGAGCTGTAGGGCATGCTTGAATGTGTGCCCCAGGAGGTCAGGGCTGTAGGGCATGATTGTGTGTCCCAGGAGGTCAGGGCTGTGGGACATGATTGTGTGTCCCAGGAGGTCAGAGCTGTGGGCATGCTGTGCCCCCAGGAGGTCAGGGCTGTAGGGCATGATTGTGTGTCCCAGGAGGTCAGGGCTGTAGGACATGTTTGTGTCCCCCAGGAGGTCAGGCTGTAGGGCATGCTTGTGTGTGCCCCAGGAGGTCAGGGCTGTAGGGCATGTGTGTGTGTCCCCAGGAGGTCAGGGCTGTGTGTGTGTGTCCCCCAGGAGGTCAGGGCTGTGGGGCATGTGTGTGTGTGTCCACCAGCTCAGGCTGTAAGGCATGTGTGTGTGTGTCCCCAGGAGGTCAGGGGCTGTCATGTGTGTGTGTCCCCAGGAGGTCAGGGCTGTAGGGCATGGTGTGTGTCCCCCAGGAGGTCAGGGGCTGTGGGGCATGTGTGTGTGTCCACCAGCTCAGGCTGTGTGTGTGTGTCCCCAGGAGGTCAGGGCTGTAGGGCATGTGTGTGTGTCCCCCAGGAGGTCAGGGCTGTAGGGCATGAGTGTGTGTCCCCCAGGAGGTCAGGGCTGTAGGGCATGTGTGTGTGTCCCCCAGGAGGGGGACCCTATGATGTGTAGGGACATAAAACTCTCCAGCAGTAGGTATAGAAGCATGTTAAAGCAGAAAAGGTTGCAGCAGGGAGAAAATAAGAGGATTTTTTTTGTTAAAGAAACCGTTAGAATCAAAGAAAACAGTGTGAGGAAATGGTTCAAAAATCAAGGAAAAGCAGAAAGGCCTTCCAGCAACAAAAGCAACATTTACTCTTCCTGAAACAACTAGCTGATGCAATTAAAACGAAGAATAAAACAACCAAATGAGTGAATATTACATGGGAAAGAAATATATATATACTGTATATATATATATATGCTTATACATGCTTATTTTTCTTATTTCAGTAATATATATGTTACTGAAACCTCAGTTGCTGGTGCATTAGAGATAAATCCCTTTGGTAAGTAATAAATATTGAATTCTCACAATACAGTGCAAGAAAGTTTACTTTTTAGTTTATCTTCTCTCAATAATGGTGCACAATTAAAAATATTGAAAAAATTCAAGTCAAGTAACAAATAAAATTTGTAAAGGCATTTTTAAGACCAAATGCATGAGAAACATTGTTGCAATAAGCATGGTACATGTTTTATTCTGGGTGCTGTGTAACAATGTGAGAAATTAAGTTAAATATGGTAAAAACTTCCCGGGTAGGTGTCTCCCTGGAACCCCCCCAGAAAAACAATTACAATCACATAAATAGAGACAAGATCTTCCCTGGCGCACTCAAGGAAAACACTTACATGTTACAGCGCTAATTCTGAGAAATACCTTTTTACTTTACTTCTATCCTCTTCACCAGTGATCGGCTCGTTAACCGCTTGGGCGATCAGTCACGTCTCTGTTACGCACTGTTGGCAAGTACTGGGCATGCACCGGCTCCTGAATATACCTGAACCTGCTCCAGTGTTGGTCAAGTCTGGTCTTGAAAGAGCTCACACTTGGTGCCGTCACAACACTTTCTGGCTTCATATTAACCGTCTCCATGACTGCGATTCACCATCCATAGGATGATCAGTGTGATGAGACTACTGAAGAAACATGAATATAAATACAGTGTGATAGCACAGAACCCTTGGAGGACACAATAGTTACATGAATACTGAAGGTAGAACGGGAAAAACAAAACTGGTGCTACAGTAATTTTAAACAAATTATTCTTTTACGACTGTGACTGTGTATGTGATACACTATTCATAGGAAGATCAAAGGTGTGGTGAGGAATAATTTAAAGGTTCTTTTCACATATGGTTTCTGTTTGTTTCTTCATCCCGTTGGGACATATGATTCTCCTCCTTACTATTGTTACGGCCTAGCGTGCTGCTCTTATTTCTTTACTTACTTTACTTTTATCCTCTTCACCACTGATCGGCTCGTTAGCCGCTTGGGCGATTGGTCACGTCTCTGTTACGCACTGTTGGCAAGTACTGGGCATGCACCGACTCCTAAATGTACCTGAACCCGCTCCAGTGTTGGTCAAGTCTTGTCTTGAAAGAGCTCACACTCTGTGCCGTCACAACACTTTCTGGTAGATTGTTCCAAGAGTTGACAACCCTCACTCCGAAAAAGTTTGCCCTCACAGTTTTCTGGACTTGCGGCTTCTTCAATCTTGAGCTGTGACCCCTTGTGGGGCGAGCGTCCGCCAGCTCCAAGTAAGGACACTCGACTGAGTAGTGCCCCTTGAAGTGCTTATACACCTCAATTAGGTCACCTCTTGCCTGTCTAGTATAAGCTAGGCAAGTTCAGGCGCTCCAATCTCTCAGGGTAGCTGAGGTGCCGAAGGGCAGGCACCAGTCTGGTGGCCCTCCTTTGAACATTTTCAATCAACTGACAGTCCCTAGCATATCTCGGGGACCAGACGGGGTGACAGTACTCCAGATGAGGAAGCACTTCACTGTTGAAGATCGTTACAAGGGACGGACCGTCCAGATATCTGAACGACCTTCTTATAAGACCTAATAATTTATTTGCCTGATTTACCTTCTTGCAATGGCCCGAGAACTTCAGCTCATTGTCAACATACACACCCAGGTCCTTCTCACATTCAGTCTTAAATAGTGCAGTTTCTTCATCCCGTTGGGACATATGATACGCCTCCTTACCGTTGGTACGCCCCAGGTGCATCCTCTTACACTTCGTGACATTGAATCTTAGGAGCCATTTCTTCGACCATTCTTGGAGCTCACAGAGATCCTTCTGCAGCTCTTCAGAGTCCGCTTGGTTCTTATGCTGCCACCACCCAGGCATGCCTAACACAACATAGACTTAGGCTTCAACATATTACTCAAATTATCTTCAAGGCCTCAGCTAACATTAGGTACACATATCTTAATGCTATACATAAGGATGTAGTGGATCCTCTCCCCTACAATAGACAACTGAGCTCCTGCCGCGCGTACAGCCAGCGATGCCGATAGACCTACTCCCCAGTGCGGACGCACACGTAGCAACGCCAAGAGAGGCCATAGCTTCCCACGACATGCCAGGATCAGAGAGCCGGGCACCTTGCGCGTTCTCCGTGATTGGCTCACCTCGATCCCTGAATTGACAGAATTGTATAAATACGGGCACGGCTGGCCAGGGAGACCATTCTACTCTGACCTACTGGACCAGCAAGACCTCTCTACAGCGCCTCACCAACCAGCTCCCTCAGAGAGCTCCTCGCCCAACAGGACCTCTGAGCAAACTACTCATCACCTAGTAACTCCTTAGCACTGCACTGTACAACAATATATATATACAGAAAACACATTGTGAGTTTCTATTCTACCTCAATCCTGAGTGTGAGATATCTACATGTACGTACGTTTGTGTGGCCATACAAAGAGACAATAGAAAACCAAAGAGAAGTGACAACTGGCCACATACAATACGCTACACATAAGGACTCGGTGTCCCGGACCCCCTGTGAGAGGGGACACACAAAAGAAAATGTACACTTTTATGGGTGACCCAAGAAAGAAATTATATGTTTTACTGACTATTGAGCATAATATGGATAATATGTACAGAGCATAACAGAGACGTGATCGGCCGTTCAAGCAGTTAACTGATCAGTGACGAAAAAAAAAAAAAAAAAAAAAAAATATATATATATATATATATATATATATATATATATATATATATATATATATATATATATATATATATATATATATATATATATATATATATATATATATATATATGCTGATAACCACAAGGAAAGAAGAAAACACGAAGTTCCCAAGCGCTTTCGTGTAATTCACATCTTCAGGGGTGAGTACAGACTAAAGAGAAGTACGAAACAAGGTTTATATATACAGAGGAGGGTGAGACCAGGTCCACAATGGTCAGGTATTAGGTAATGACCCTACTAGTCTTTAAATAGCACGGCAACGGTCGGTAATCAGGTCAGAGGGTAAGGTGACCCAACCTTCTCACCTGGTTACAAATCTTAATTACAAAATTGTCCAGTTTGTACCCCGCCAGGATTTGAACCCACGATCTTATGACTGTGACCGGGGAACATTACCTCTGGGCCACCAGGACACTAAGACCAGTCCTAGACTCTGTTATATTGTGGGGTACAAGATGTTTGGTTCACACTCAGGATGGAATGGAGAAAGGAAACTCACAATATGCTCTCTGTATACATGTTGTATTGGATGTACAATGCAGCTTGGTGCTGGGAAGGCAGCATGGTTACAAGCGTGATGTAGAGAGAGCTGGTTGGTGAGGATGCTCAGAGGAGGACAGCTTGTGGGTCGCCATGCTCGCCGGCGGGAGCGAGGACCGCCAGGCAGGCAGAGGAGGAGGAGGTGTTGCTGGCTGGTTGGTGTAGGTAGAAAAAGAGTGATCACCACGAGGTCAGGTCTTAAATAGCGGGGGGTAGGCGTGGCTTAGTAGTTGACCTCCGTGATGTATGGCGGCGCTGGTTGACCCAGACCACGAGGCACACTGTGGATTTCGCGGGGTCGGCTACTCAGCGGCAAACAGCGTTTGTAGGGGAGAAATCCACTACAATACTCCCTCCTTCCCTCCAGGCGGTGTAGCACACTTGTTGTCTGCAGGGTTGCATGGCACATGTGAGGCAGAACGGGCGGTGCATGCCTCATGTGAGACAACAGCGATGGCGTGGATGAGCCGGTCGCTAGAGGCAACTGTCTAGATACACAATATCTGTGGGAGTAGAGAGGGAGAAAAAGGGTGTGTGGAGGCGATGCATGTTGTGCTTCCCTCACGGCAGGTACAGAGTCGTCAGATGCTCCTGCTGGGGTGTGTGGGCCTGGGTCAGGAGCAGGGGCTGCGTCAGCAGAAGCGGATGTGGGCTCGTGACAGCAGCTGGGTCCACGACAGCAGCAGGGTGCAGGACATTAGCAGGGAGTACCTGAGGGAGAAAAGAGGGGTGTGTGGGTCCGCACTCAGGAGCAGGAGCCGCGTCAGGAGAAGCGGCAGGGGGTACTGCTGGGCCGGGGCGGCGTCTGAGGCAGGACGGGTGTGTTGGGGTAGGTAGGACGTGGTGCTTGGGGCAGGAAGAGGAGCTGGTGTCTGCTTAGAGAAGCAGTGCTGCTCTAGGGTATCTAACCTGCGGTTTAGAGACAGTAGCTGTAGAGCCGATGAGAGCTGCCTCTGTGTGGATAAGCCAGTCTTCCATGTTGCTTGAAGACTGGGAGAGTGATCAGTTTCTCCTCCATCCTGTGTGAGTGGTCACTCTGGGGTCACCATTTGTGGGGTACGGGATATTTGGGTTCTCGCTCAGGATGGGATGGAGAAAGGAAACTCACAATGTGCTCTCTGTATACATGTTGTATTGGATGTACAATGCAGCTTGGTGCTGGGAAGGCAGCATGGTTACAAGCGTGATATAGAGAGAGCTGGTTGGTGAGGATGCTCAGAGGAGGACAGCTTGTGGGTCGCCATGCTCGCCAGCGGGAGAGAGGACCGCCAGGCAGGCGGAGGAGGAGGAGGTGTTGCTGGCTGGTTGGTGTAGGTAGAAAAAGAGCGATCACCACGAGGTCAGGTCTTAAATAGCGGTGGGGGGGGATTAGGTGTGGCTTAGTAGTTGACCTCCGTGATGTATGGCGGCGCTGGTTGACCCAGACCACTAGGCACACACTGTGGAATTCGCGGGGTCGGCTACTCACCGACAAACAGTGTTTGTAGGGGAGAAATCCACTACAATATTTCACACAAAGCCTGTTCAACGAGCGGCACGGGTAGTCCCCATTAGAGGTTCACGGCGCCATAAGCTCGTTGAACAGGCTTTGTGTGAAATATAACAGAGTCTAGGTCTGCTTTTATTGTCCTGGTGGCCCAGAGGTAACGTTCCCCGTCGGTCACAGTCATAAGATCGTGGGTTCGAATGCTGGCGGGGTGAGGTGTTGATTATATGTAGAAGTCCGCGTGCTTTATTGGGTTAATGATATATATATATATATATATATATATATATATATATATATATATATATATATATATATATATATATATATATATATATATACGATAAATAGTTTTCATTGGTGTATTAATTCTGATTATTTTAATACGAGAGCAACTGCGATAATAATTACTGTGGCCAAAGTGTGTTAGTTGTCAACTTGGGTTGGTTCAAATAACTTATATGAAAGAAATAATCTATTAGATACTGTAATAGGCTATGACTACAGTCGCAAAAGATAAGCACATATCGCATTTACGTGATAATTTCCGTGACCTTCATTTTTCTTAAAAGCAGTCGATAGTTTTCTCCTTATTCATGTACTCCTTTTCTTTGTGTCTTTTTATTAGATGAAATGGTGTTAAATATTAACATATCCTGCGTCGAGTTATTTTATCCGACTACTATTTAATATGCCATTTTTGTTTCTTTAATTTGATTATTTTGTGCTTTTGTTGTGGATTTGATAACCTTTAATAACGTTTTTTGTTTTATTACACAGGTATATTTCTTCAGTAATGAATATGACTTATCATTCAACCCTATTAATGTAATAATCACTAGACTGGAATCATTCACGTTGCACAATGGTAACTAAAATGACGACGTCCAATGTATTTTTTTTCCTAATTATAAGATTATAGATTTGAATACCTTTAGTGTATTGCAAGACAGGATAGAAATAATAACCCTCGGCTGTGTTGTAAAAGAATAATCACCATTTAAGATATAATTCACGTTCTTATTTATGACGTAAAAGAGAAACAGTGGTGGAGGAGGCAGTTAACATAGCGGTTCACAACTGTCCTCGTCACCCCGCCATAGAGGATCCAGTGGTCTATGTGGCATCAGCTGTTTCGGGACAAGTGAGCGTCGGAGTACCTCACATCCCTTCCTTTATAGTGTGACAGAACATCATCCCCAAAAGATCGTAATGAGAAAAAATGTCCGTGTCGAGTGATAGCTTGTGCCTGGAGGAGGATGGCTCTATAGACCTCGGGGAGAGCATCGAAGGACTGTGCTTCCATCAGGCGCTCAACGTGCTGCTGGTCACTACCCGAGATAACAGGCTCAGGGTGTATGACCCCCACTCCTCCCTCAAGCTCTCTGATGTCCACCTGCATGGTCAGTACTCACGCCCTAAATCTAACTCACACATTACTAATATAACTCTTGTTTAATCCCTGTAGGTGTAGACTACCTTGCTGTTTCAACTGTAACTCTTTCCTCTAACTCTCAGACATCCACCAGCAGGGACAATTCTCACGCCCTAAATCTATCACAATTAGCCCAGCTTCTCTTGTTTACTATTTAATATATCTTAAAAAAAACTTATATATTACTTAGGAATTCAATCTTAAGGGGTTATATTCCCTCCTAGGTGGGGTGTTGAGTGATGGTGTCTTGAGTAGTATTGTGAAGTGTTGTACAGTGACAGTTGGTTCATGGACCATTAGTCTAACTTATTAAAACAAAAAATACTTGTAGTCCTAAGTTAATGCCCCAGGCTGGCTTAACAGGAATGGTATCCCGGGGAATAAAATTTTATAAAAGTGTGTTGTGTGTCCCTGCTTCAAGTGTCATGGTATCCGGAGATGAATTTGTGGTTATTAAAGATAACATTAAATGTGTAGGTGTTGGCAAGGTTGGTGGTGTGGATTTACTGTTTTGGTCGGGTTATGTAGTGTTTCAGAAAATTGTTTGGCGTTCGGTAAATAAAATAGTAAAAGATGCATCAAGTAGTGAAGCAATTAACATTAACAACAGAGTTGGCCCAGCATGGAGAATAGTTGTTACTTATATCCTCAGAATCAGGGTAATTGTTATTATCTTTAAATTGAGCTGCTGGCAGGTATGATGTAGTTGTGCTTCAGGTTCATAGTGAAGGAAAGATTGTGTTACTAAAGGGAAACAATTCCCCAGTTTATGTGCAAATAATTGTGTGTGATATACCAGAACCATATAATTCATGGTAATTATTTATGACCTTACAGCCGATGATTTTTCATAGAAAACGAATTTAAAAACACCACAATTTCACTGTTTTATAGTGGACACTGTCATAGTTATGGAAAACGTGTTAAAGAGTGGTTATTTCTAAATTAAACCAAACCTAACCTTAGTTGATAAGAAAAACAAACAGCAGAAGCATTATTAGAAGACCTCACCAACCTAACCAAAGAAACCTATCTAACCTTAACTAATTTCCTAGCTGTGAGGCTCAACCCTGTGGACCCCCGGCATATTAAACAGAAAGAACTTGCTATTATATGGTGTAATTTTACTATTTTTGTGGACATGAGAGTAGTGGCCCGATCAGTGTGGCTCATAAACATACACTGGTGACTGGAGATGATTGGCTATGTACCACCGCATCACAGCGAGAAATACAAAGTAGTGTGTTCCAGACAAAGTAGGGTATTTTTGCATTTGTGCACACAACTTTCCTACCCCAAATCTATTATCATATTTGATGAAAAGACGTCTAATTATAAGATAATTTCTTCTATTACATTACTGTCACAAACGTATAATAATGGAGATAGCGCACGCCAAATCTTTCTCTATTTTCTTCCGCCATTATCGACTACCTGACCTCCTACACTGTGTGTTCCCTTCATCATGCGGCCAATCAAAAGTTTTTTTTTTTTGTTGCCACCAATTAAAATGTGGTTTAATTCACTGGCCAATCAAAAGTTTTTTTGGGGGGGGGCCACCAATTAAAATGATTTGTGGTTTAATTCGCTGGCCAATCAAAAGCTTCTTTTTTTTTGGCCACCAATTAAAATGATTTGTGGTTTAATTCGTGGTATTTTTGGCCCAATCTAATTTTATTTTTATTTTCGGTCATATAATTTTTTAGATCTCATGGTGTTCTCCCGACCTCAGTAAAGTGTCCTAAGTGCAAGAACAAATGTAAATATCGTCAAGACCAACATTTGTGGTATTGTAGTAACTCGATTTTTATCCCCAAGACAAAGAAGAGACGTTGGTGTTCGTACACCGTCAGTGATTACAAAGGAACATTTTTAGAAAAGTACCATTTTCAGCCATGGAAGTTACTTTTATTTGTAAATCATTGTTGGTTTACGTTAAGTCTGGTCAGGTTTTGCTTTACTAGTGTTTTTTTATGTACGTATTTTATTTTATGCTTGGCCATAATTTTTGTCGGAAAACACCCCACCCAAACCCCCGATAACTAAAAAACGGGCAATTTCCGACGGAAATGAAGGTCAAAACCAATCAAAACACACAAAAATACACTAGAAAAACATAGTTTTGACTTTCTAACAGAGTTGTGTGCACTAATGCAAATTTACCCAAGGTAGTGCATGTGTAGTTGCCTAATTATCTACCAAATGAAACCATATCCATAAAAATTATTATTCTATCAGAACTCACTGATCAAAATAGAGTAAGAATATAAACATCAAAACAATGCATTGGCTGTAAAGTCCTCCATATTAGCCAAATTCATGTTTTATTAAAGGTAAAAACAGGAAAATTGTGCTCTTTCAGTATTTCTTATGTACAGTAATAAGAATCTATTTCAATTTAAAAATAAATGTTACTTCTCACATTTGCATTACTGTATATTGTTGAGTGAAGATACTTTAAAACTGTGAGTGGTGGACAATATTACAGTACTGTATCTAGATATTTTATATATAAATTTTCCATTAATTGAGAGATGACAGTATAAAGGCAGTCCCCGAGCTATGATTGGGTTACATTCCTGGACACTGTTCGTAAGTTGGAACAGTGTTAATTACATAGGTTAAAGCATAACCCTGCCCATACAAAACAATAATAATATTCCGTATATAACAAATAATGTAAATACAGTACAGGGTACTGTAAATAAAGTGATGTTAACCAATATAAAGTATTGTACGGTACAATGTAAAAAATATGATTTTAGTTACGGATATTTGTGATGAATACTGTATCGGGATCCCGTTCCTAAGTGCAGGTGTTCGTAAGTTAGGATTTCATAACTTGGGGACTGCCTGCATATATAAATTTGCTTAATTAAGTTACTTTATTTTGTATGTCTTTTATGTAACACAACTGTACAGCCACAGAAAATATCATTGATTGCACTAGTATGTTGGTCAGTTTCTGTATTATAAATATGGTAGTCTTACAATCATGGGTAGTTATTTTAGGTAATGGTATACAGGTACACCATTTGCATGCCAGAATCAGCAGTTTGAGGACATTTCACCAGAGAAGATAAATGTTGTTTTACCTCATGAAAAGGTTTTAAAGTGAAATGAACTGACAAACGCAACCAAGAATGTCCCTGTGGATCAAATAAACAAAGACAAATCTCGAATATCACAGCCTTAGATTCACGATTAAATAAAAAAAATAATAATAATAACATACAAAATGTTTTCTTTTCCAGATTTTGGCCTTGTCATGAGGTAATAAATAATTTATATTCTTTGGTGAAATGTCCCCAAGTTGCAAGTTCAGGGGCATAAATGGTGTAAACAATTACAGTACCTTATTTTGACCTTCACAATCTTGGGTAGTTATTTTGAAACAGTGCTGTTTGTTTTTATACGGTAATTTTAAGAACACTAGTATTTTGTGTGCTTACCAGTACGTACACCCTATGGTCGATTGGGTTGGGCTTAATTTGTGTAGGTTAAACTTATGTAAGTTTAACCCTTATGCCCCGGGCAACGTAAAACCTGCCATCTTATTTATTTATTTTTTTTTTTTTTACATCCATAGTTGAAAACTGGTATTTCCGGCTTAAAATTAGTGCATTCACTTCAAGCGTACAGTACTGTTGTCCCTGGCGTGTATGTGGTCCCCTATGTCCACAGCCAACACGGCTCTCATGACTAGGTTGCAGGGTGGAGGAGCAGTGAGCACCATTTTCTGTATCACTGTCCTCACTGCTGTCTGCCTCAACAAACTCGACATCATCGTCAGGGTCTGTTTTACTCCCCAACACTGTCTTTGTCGTCCAATTTTATATCGGTGCCACTCAAATCAAGCAACTCATGATGAATAGCATTACTGTCGAGAGTGTGGAGGAGCGAGGCGGGTCACGAGACATTGTAGCATATGCATCCATCATGGTGTCTCGTGGGTAACTGGACCACTTGACCCGACACAAATTACATGTGAGTTCAGTTGCCAAGGAGCCTTCTACATACACACCTCAAAGTAAGTGAACTTTTCTACCATTTTTGTTGAATTTAGGCAATTTTCGGTGAGCTGGAACCAATTACCCAAAAACCCGTTGAAACAATGGTTTCGGTATAACGAACTTTTCGGTTAACGAACGACCTTCTGGAACGGATTGAGTTCGTTAACGGAGGGGTCACTGTACAAGTATTCTAAATCCTCTTCAGAGTTCAAATATATTTGCATAATTATTATGCCATTTGTGTATCTTATGGCCTGTTTGTGTGTACAGTATAGTTAAACTTTTGCTTTAAGTGATCTGGCAGAAACGATTGATGCTACATAATAGAGAAACCCTTCCCCATGCTTATAGGCTTATGGTAACTTGAGACAGTTGGAAACTAGATTTGTTGCATAATTGCTGCTAATGCCAATCAACTTTAGAATAGATGAGGAAAATCCTTGAAAGATATCTTGATTTTTTTAATTGATACACATGAACCTCACTTATTTAACTTCCTCAGTGTTCTACCCTATTCGAATTACTCATAGAACACAAATTAGCCAAGTGTGGCCACATACTCTTTTGTGCCTTGTGTAATTTGTGCTAACATACTGTATTTCAAATAGCTGTTACAGTTAATATTAATTAAATGCTATTTTAAACACTATTTTTCTTGACATAACATACAAATGGTACATGAGGAGTGATGCTAACACTAATGTTACAGTATTTACGTTTACAGCCCGATTTAACATCATAATGTTCGCTTCTCTTTGTAGGCTAATGACATCATGGAAAAATACAGACTGCTGTGTGAGCCCTACTGATATACAGTGGTCCCTCGGTTAACGAGCACAATCCGTTCCAGCAGGTTGCTCGTTAACCGAAAAACTCGTTAACCGAAACCATTGTTTCAATGGGTTTTTGGGTAATTGGTTCCAGCTCACCGAAAATTGCCTAAATTCAACAAAAAAGGTAGAAAAGTACACTTACTTTGAGGTGTGTATGTAGAAGGCTCCTGGATGATGATGATGATGCAAATTAGAATGGGGGTGGAGGAGAAGGAAGAGAAGGCTTTGGGGTGGAAGAGAAGTCACCCCATGGCACCATTTCACCCATAAAATTTTAGTTCTCTTGGTGTAATTCAAGATTATTTTCTTTAAATCAACACTTCACTGCATTATATATTGTCAATATGTAAAATAAATTTCAAAGTGACCAATAATTTGCTTGGAAACACAGAAAAAAAGCGTTTAGTTGAAGAGAATCTCAAGCAAGATGTTACCTCCAGTGAAAACAGAGAGAGACTAACGCCTGTCTGGTGTGTTAACAGGCTGGATGGCACGCCAGAAACTAGTTTCTTTACCTTCAATTATGTTCAATAATTGTTAAAATGACAAAAAAAGTTAATATTAAACTTTTGAAATTATTGAATAGTATAAACTTCTTGATATTTACCGGGTACTAAAATAGTAAGGAATTTAAGCCCTAAAACCGATTACTGTATTGGCGGACTAATACTACAGCTGGTGGACCGCCAAATGCAAGCGAAAACATGTTGAAGTCGGCTCGTAAAAACTCATTAATCGAGGGGTTGCTCGTTAACCGAAGTTAAGATTCTTATGTAAGGTAAATCGTTAACCGAAGTCTCGTTAACCGAGGCGCTCGTTAACCGAGGGATCACTGTATTGTATATATATTTTTTTTCACTTAACATACAACTAGTGTATGTGAAATTAAGTTAACACAAAAATATTTATGTACAGGTTTGTACAGTGGTCCCTCGGTTAACGAGCACAATCCGTTCCAGCAGGTTGCTCGTTAACCGAAAAACTCATTAGCCGAAACCATTGTTTCAATGGGTTTTTGGGTAATTGGTTCCAGCTCACCAAAAATTGCTTAAATTCAACAAAAAAGGTAGAAAAGTACACTTACTTTGAGGTGTGTATGTAGAAGGCTCCTGGATGATGATGATGATGGGAATTAGAATGGGGGTGGAGGAGAAGGGAGAAGAGAAGGCTTTGGGGTGGAAGAGAAGTCACCCCATGGCACCATTTCACCCATAAAATTTTAGTTCTCTTGGTGTAATTCAAGATTATTTTCTTTAAATTAACACTGCACTGCATTATATATTGTCAATATGTAAAATATATTTCAAAATGACCAATAATTTGCTTGGAAACACAGAAAAAAAGCGTTTAGTTGAAGAGAATCTCAAGCAAAATGTTACCTCCACTGAAAACAGAGAGACTAACGCCTGTCTGGTGTGTTAACAGGCTGTATGGCACGCCAGAAACTAGTTTCTTTACCTTCAATTATGTTCGATAATTGTTAAAATGACTAAAAAAGTTAATATTAAACTTTTGAAATTATTGACTAGTATAAACTTCTTGATATTTTCTAAAATAGTAAGGAATTTAAGCCCTAAAACCAATTACTGTATTGGCGGACTAATACTACAGCTGGTGGACCGCCAAATGCAAGCGAAAACATGTTGAAGTCGGCTCGTAAAAAACTCGTTAATCGAGGGATTGCTCGTTAACCGAAGTTAAGAATCTTATGGAAGGTAAATCGTTAACCGAAATCTCGTCAGCCGAGGCGTTCGTTAACCGAGGGATCACTGTACAATAGCTAAAACAATTATCTGCATACTTTGTGGGAAAAAATATGAGAACATGGACAATAAATTTTGGTATATGAGGGCTGTCACTAGTCACACGTAAAATTTTGGAGCATATCGACCCCCACCTGCACAAATTGCTGTTTTAGCTACAATACTGTATATTTTTATGAAAAAATATCCCAATGTACAGTATTAAATGTAGCATTAAGCATACTGGTTCTGAAAGACGGGCATTATTTTAACATGTTTTTATTACTGGTAGTTACGGAAAACAATTCATACAAGTATCATAGATGGCAGGGATTATATAACATTTAAAAAAAAGATAAGAGGTAAATAAATTGTACTGCAAAATATTGTAAATTCAATCATACTATGTATATGACTGTACAGTATAAACTCACACAATGCTGGAGCATGGAGTGACTTGGGAAACACCGGCCTCATGTATCCTTGACATCATGATGTCGCTGCTTCCTGCCTTCTAACATAAAGAGTGTGTGGGTTAGGTTGGTTGTACAACCTAGTTAATTATTTTTTAACTTTCTTGTGAATATTAAAGTGTTGAGAGTATTACATTGTTTCTGTTTACAGGTTTTCAGTACAGAAGGATTATTGTTCCTGGGCCCTGTTTGTAAGTCAAAATTGTCATTTCCAAAGTTTAGGATAAAACATATAAAACAATAATATCCCAAACATAACAAATACTAATGTAAATACTGTACATAAAGTGATGTTAATAACATAAAGTAAAATGGTTCGAACCAGTTGACTGTTTGTTGATGATGCCAGGACGCGGAACCGCCAAGTTTGGGTGGTGGCTGAACAAAGTAGCGTCTATTCATAAATAGCTACCAGCAAATGCTCGTAGGTTGGAATAGATTTTTATTAAGAATATATTGGTATCGCAGGTTGGGTGTGCGTATGTCAGGGATTTCATGTACAGTAAAAGTCCAAAAATCCGGATGCCAGGGATCCGGACCACCCGAGAATCCGGACTTTTCGAAAACTCAAACTTTTTAAATTTAGCGGGCTTTTGTGGGTTATGTGAATGAATGGAGTTGCTTTAAAAAAATTAATTTACATAATTCTAATAATAAAAGTAATTGTAAATTTTAGGTAGCTAATTTTGTTAGTTTTGTAATTAGCTTGAACTGAAATGTAAAATTTGAGGCACAATAAATCTTTTGTGTGTATGTGTGCATGCGTGAATGCCACAGCTGCACAGCGACAACAAACGACCACACGATCGCCACTTTAAAACAAGCAATCAAACTGTGACAACGTATGTAATTTTGAGTCCTACTCTTTCCATGTACAGAGTACAAGCCCATAATAATGGCCCCTAAAGTAGATAAACTTCGTTGTGTGAAGAGAAAGAAGAACACATTGAAATTGAGTGACAAACTTGAAATATTTAAGAAACTAGAATGTAATGTGAGCAATGCTGTTCTAATGGAAACATACAACACTGGAAAGTCTACAATTTATGATATAAAAAAGGCAAAGAATAAAATTCTAGAATTCACAGCTCCTTCTGAGCCTTACATTAAAATTGCTGAAAGAAAAAGTTTACATTGGCCCAAATTAGAAAATCTTGATAAAGTTTTGCACGAATGGTTTTTGTTAAAACGATCAGAAGGTATGGCAATTTCTGGGCCGATGCTTATTGCCAAAGCAAAGTCTTTTAAGGAGCAAATGAACATTGAATCAGAGTGCGCATTTAGTGATGGATGGCTTAGGAATTTCAAGACTCGTCATGGTATTAGACAGTTTGTTTACATTTTTGTCTAGTGTTGACTTTATTTTTCTTTAAACTGCTCGTTTTGATAAATGAAGCATGCTTTATTTGCTCATGAATAAACTATCAAAATGTACCTGTTCATCTCTTCTTTATTCCTCCTTAAATTTTAATTTTAAAAGTACTGCCTGAGAATCCGGAAAATCCGAAAATCCGGACTGACCCAATCCCCAAGCAGTCCGGATTTTTGGACTTCTACTGTACTATATCGATTTTTGGAGTCTGGGGGTGGGGGGAGGTGCTTACCCTCTTATACTATGGAATTTGCTTTTCCTCAGTAGGGATGTTGCTGTGATTAGTCTGAGCTAGAGAGGTCCTGTTGTGTTGTTGGAATGCTCTGATATCCCACTAGTCATGTTACCATTAATACTCTTTATTTTCATGTGTTTTGGGGGTAAATACTGTACACTGTATAGGTGGTGTGGGGGTAACTGGTGGTGGTGGTGTGTAAGGCAATTATTGTTGTGGTCAGAGGGATCAGTGCTAAGGTGATAATGATCTGCTTGTAAGTGTGTAAGTGACTGAACATTCACGTACCAAGAATTGGAAGGAAACCTTTTCACAAAAATGGGAAACTTGAGGTGGCTAACACTGCATTTTTCTAATTTTATTCCACAAACAATTATTGAAAAAAGGAAAAAAAATGTTGATATACCAGCATTTCATCTCATTATAGTCTGTTATAAATAATGTTTACAATATACTGTATCATAAATATTTACTGAGGGATAAGAAATAAAAGAGGGACAATACAGCAGGTGCCTTAATAGGGTAATATTATTCAACATTGTAAGCCAATTACAGGTAAACTATATCGTCTCCTTGGAAGGAAGGGGTTAAGTCCAGGTACTAATGTACAGTAGTTGTATTACTCAAATGTTTCTGCATCCTTCTTGAAACAGAATTAAGTGTGTTCACATATTTACTCCTGTCTTGTATTTCAGGGGAAGGCAAGAGTAACTTGTTGTGTGTCTATCATGGAGAGAGCAACAGTGTGGTGGTGTGTGGAGGACGGACAGTGGGGATGCGCCGCGACCATCATGGTGTCCTTCTTCTCGGTACTGTTCTTCAGGCTCCCGTGGCTGCACCGGAAGAAACTGTTATTGTGGAGATGTTACTCTCTGAGGTAAGACATGTGAAGTAGCTTTTATTGTTTTTTAAGTCTCTGATTTTCACTCAGGGCACCATTTACATTCCCAATGATCAATGGGTACAGTACCTAAATTTACTGTATAAGTAGGGATGTGAAGGAAATTGAGTGTAGTGAAGGCAATCTCCATGTGAAGTGAAGGCTTTGTATATAGTGTATTGTATCCATACTGTCTCTAATGAGAAGTCAGGCTTATGGGACCTAACTCATTTTTATGCCTGGCTTGGGTAATTCACAGTTTCACATGTACAATATGTATATTTATTAACCCATGGGTGAAAACTAGGGTTTCCTAGGCCCATATACATACCTGGAAATAATCCAGTAATTAGTTAACATTTTCTTATCTCCTGGTTTCCAAAACAGACCAGATGTTACAACATTTGCTCCTAAAAGTTGAGTGCATTGAGTTCCTTTACCCACATTACTCAGCTGCAAAACACAGTTTCAGAGTTGACCGCTTCAGTTTCAGTTACACCAGTTCCATCGGTGTCAAGAATGTGCACTTCAGTATTATGATAAACTAGAGGTTGAATTGCAACCTTACATCTTGATCTAGTGAGTTAGTCTCAGCACGTGTTTAGTATTGCATTTATTATTGTACCATAGTTATATGATATAAAATAATTTTATAAAAACTTTCAGTTATTTTTGAAGATTGTGAACCATGAACATATGTAATAAGCTGTGTGGTATGTATAGTAGTGGACTGTAGATCATTCTTGGTTTTTTATTTTCATCATGGGATTTTTTATAATTTTCTTGATTTTTATAATCAGTAATAATAATTCTCAAAGGAGAGTAAAATAAGTCTCCTTTGTTACTTTCTGCTTGGGGGTAAACTGGATGGGGAAGATATAGCCTCTTTAAGAAAACTAGACTTAAATTGGCTCCTGTTGGGGTAAACGTTCATAACTCTAGATATTTAAATTAAGTTTCCTGAGCTGTGAAGGTGGATAAGAAGGATCTTATTAGAAAATGTGAATTTTCTTCCAGATTGTAAGAGAATCAAAGATCCATGGGGAAATTGTAGACAATTTTATATAATTATTATGAAGAAAGTATACACAAAAATATGAAGATTTTCAAGATACTGTATCATAATTTCCATGCTGTATATGGACAGTGATACTGTTTTTCATTATTACCAGTTTAGTTCCATATTTGGTATTTATAAAGTGTCTTCACCTCCCTGTCTTTTAGGGGTGTAGCTTAATTTTAAGTTGAGTGATGGGTCACTGGGAGGATTAGTGGTGGTGAAATGGGTTCATCTTGTGTTTCTTAAGAAATTCTACCTGGTAATTATTTGTTAATTGATTGTAAGTTTTTCTGAATACAGTAATGTTAATCCTACTGAGAGTGCTCTATAAACACTAGCGAAACAAAGACAATTAAGGCAATTTTTTACTGCCTTTGAACTCTCCAAAAACTCTTGATTCATGTATTTTAGGTGAAATTTTAACCATCCTTGGAATGCTCTTCATCTCACTTTTGAATAAAACAGGTGACATTCTAAATTGAAGAAGGCACATCACCAAAACATAAGAGAACAGAACAGAACCCCTGCTGCAGTCTGTGTTTCCTTACCACCACAGTTCACTCATTGAGTAATAAATTTATTAGGGATAATGTCCAGTCTTTATTTAGTACAGTACAGTTAATGATGTGTTTATTTATTTTATTATGCATATATAAAGCAAAAAAAAAAAGAAAAGGTTCAACATATATTAGTGTAATATTTTGACATTTATGTGTTACCAGGGCATCCAGTTACAGCAAACACTGGCATTTGGGGACCTGAGCAACATCGATCATGCGGCAGAAGTGCGAGAGGTGTTGGCTCAGGGCATTGCAGCTCACCAGGCACAGTCACGCATCAACCCCAAGTTAGCGAAGGTGTGATGGTTTTATTGTTTTCTGGTTCACCTTTGACTGATTTAATTTTTAAGATTACTTATCGAGAAATGAAAGTTGATAGGATTATTTCCATTTTCTATTTACATTATCCATATCACTCAAAAGACAATGTCTCCTAGATAATTGAAGGGGTGTGGCGATGAAGAGGCTTTAAATATTTTCATTTTTGGGTGAGTGATACTAAGAGGTTAAGATTGAAATTATGTGCAGCAGATAGACTTTGAGGAGGGGCATGGCAGCTTGGTCCAAAATATATGCTATCTGTCAACTTGGTTTTTTTCCCAACAAGAAGGGATGGAACAGATTCAATAAGATTTGTGTGATTAAAAAAATGACCATACTGTACAAGGAAAAAAGCAAACTCAAATTGTCTGTGGAAATTTATTGATAAAAAGATGTAGAGTATAATGGAAAAGTAATAGATATTGAATCAGTAGCTACATATTTTTGGGACATACTGGTCAAGGTAACATATTACAAGAAAAAGTGAATTTCTATAATGAGAACAGTTATAGGTTCAGGTTAAAATGAGACCATGGGCTTTAGTTAAGCTTAATGACTATAGGGAACTGCCCATGACTGGTACTTTGTGACAATTCTGCTTGTATCATTGTATTTTTGAATATGGTGAAACTAATTATGTATAATATAATAGTGTGCTGTAGTGAAATTTATGTTATCTACTGAAATAGTCTTTACCAATGTGTGTACTTTTCTTCTGAATCAAGAATATTTAGGTGTTGCTCTTGGGTTTAATACTGTACTGGAATGAGTGAATCTTAATTTAAGTACGAATGTACTCAGACAACAAATTTACTACTTAGATAAAATGTTTTTATGAATTCTCTCCATGACAGTGGAGTACCTTGCGCCTAGAGCTGCCTCTTGGGGTCCTGCGCAGCGTCTGTTTGGGTCTGGTGAGTGAGCTGAAGCGTCTGACACGTTACATCCCAGCTCTTTCTATTGCCTCAGCACTAATCCAGCGCCTGGCCCACCTGTTGCCTCCTCCCACCCCAGATACTGGCCAAGGCCCTCCTGGTACAGGACCACCAGACAGAGAGGCCATGTGTAGTGAGGCTGCAAGACTGGCCACCTTCATCAAGTGGCCACACATGAATTATAAGTAAGTGAATGTTTTATACATCATGTTTTGTCTTGACTATTCAGTAACTCTGAAGATTGGGATGAACATTGACCAAAACGAAGGGGTACATAGTTGCAGCTTCCTAGTACAGATTTGTGGAGTGGACTTATCAGAGAGATTTTATTTTATTTTATTTTTTAATAGAATTTTGAGGTTGAACATTATGGCAAAAATATTTTGATTTTATTTGTAAGATACACCTGAATGATGCATAAGTCATTATTATTTGTAAGTTGGAAAACCAAGCATTAGAATATGAGTTAGGAATAAATAGGATGGAAAGGCAGACTGCAAGATGTTGCTGACTGTTAGTGCACTCTATGCACAGGTCATCATGTAACCTTAGCAAGGCTGGAAAAACTCATTATTGGGGATACGAGGTCTGACAATTAAGTTCGCGAACTCATGCTACAGGTGCCGGTACGTACCTTACTGAAGATCGGCGCTGTGGTCCCCTTCAAAGTATTCCCCTTGCGATGCTATACACAACACCAGCGTTTCTTTCATCCCTGGAAACATTTCTGCAACTCACTTTCTGGAATAGCTTTTATAGCTGCCGTCGTGCTACTGTGAATGTCATCCACGTCTTGATGGTGTTTCTTCAGCAAAGGAAATAGAAAAAAAGTCACGAGGGGCCAAGTGAGGTGAAAAACGAAGGTGTTCCAGTAAAGTAATTTGTTTCTCGACCAAAAACTCCCACAAAATCAGTGCCGTGTGTGCTGGGGCATTGTCATGATGCAAGATCCACTTGTTTCCAGCGAAAAGTTCTGGGCATTTTTGTCTAACTTTTTCTCCGAGTCTTTTAAACACATTGAGATAGTAAAACTGGTTCACTCCTTGCCCTGGGGAACAAATTCATTGTGAACTACTGTATACCCTTAGAATTGAAAAAAGTGATGAGCATTGTCTTCACTTTCGACTTTGACATAAGACACTTTTTGGGGCGCAGTGAGTTTTCAGTTTTCCACTGAGCGCACTGGTGCTTCATTTCAGGGTTGTATTGGTAGACCCATGACTCATCACCAGTAATGACTTGATGTAGCAGGTCATCTCCAGCTTCTTCTCTTTCCAAAAGGTCTGAGCAAATATCTATTCTTCTTTGTTTTTGTTCGTCACGGAGATTTTTTGACATCATTTTCACACAAACTTTTCTCATCTTCAAATCTTCAGTTAAAACCTTTCTAACTCTTTGCCAGTCAATCTGCTCCTCATCTGCAGTGATTCTTACCGTCAATCGCCAGTTAGCTCGCACAACTTTCCTAGTTTTTTCAATGTTTTTCTCAGTCCTGCTCGTTATTGTTCCTCCTTCTCTGTCATTGTCTGTCACGTCTTCTCTTCCCTCAGAAAATCACTTAATCCACTTGTAAACTGATGTTTTATTTAGTGCTTTATCCCCCAAAACTTGGGTTAACATGTCCCAAATTTCAGGCCCAGTTTTCCCAAGTTTCACAAGAAACTTGATGTTTGTTCTTTGTTCTAAAACAATATCTGTCATTATAACGACAAAACCAGAAAACACTTTTAATACAATAGCTGCCACTGCACATGTCAGAGTCGCTTGAGGTCGACGAAACAACCGGGGTAGTAAGAGAAGGGATCAAGGTCACACATGCAGCTCACACTCCTGACAGTGTATCTGCTTGTTGAGCCACGCGGCGAGTTTGTGAACTTAATTGTCAGACCTCGTATATCTCTGGAATGAGTTGTTGAATTCTGTTGTCTGGGTGACTTGATCAGTACTGGAGGTGGTGCTGAAGTTGTAGGAGTCAGAAGTGGCTGGAGAAAGTTTAGGCAGATGCTGCCTTTATTGAGAGCAAGAGACCCTTTTCTTTGTATGAAAAGGAAAATGTATGCAACTGGCGTGAGAAGTGTGATGTTGTATGGCAGTGAAACATGGACAGTTAAAGAGGATGACATATCACACTTGAATAAGCAAAAAGAAATTGGTGAGATGGATGAGTAATATGACATTGAAAGATATGAAACCCTGTTCAGACCTAAGAGGGTGGTTGGGTATTGAGAGTATTGGCAAGGCTTTGCTTTGTGTAGAGGTAGGTTGAGATGGTTCAAGCATGTGGAGAGAATGGAGGAGACCAATGTGTACAAGAGATGTAGGGGTTTAAATGTGGAGGGGAGGAGAGCTAGGGGTAGGCCAAGAATGACATGGGAAGAGGTTGTAAGCAAGAGAGGCTAACCCACATAAGCAGGGAAAATGGTCGTAAAATGAATATGAAGTTGGTAACATATTTCTTGAAGGTTCGCTATAGGCTTTGTTTTGGTAGAAGTAACTTTAAAGTAGTTGTAGTAATATTAATTATACTAGTAGCATTAGGACTACATAGGAATAATGAGCTATATATTTTTCAATAACTTGATGAATTTTTCTGAAAAATTCAGGGATGAAGTTCTTTGGTATCTGGAGTATGCACCTGAAGGGATTTGTGGCTTGAATCAATTTTGAATAGCTATTTGGGAAATTAGAAACAAATATATAGAATGGAGGCCTCGGCAAACTACAAAGTTATTAACTCCTTTGTTTTATTTATCTTTTCAGATGGGCTTTACCGGAACAGATGGCTCAGGCAGGTTTTTTCCACCAACCAATAGCAGCAGATGATGACCGTGCAATGTGTTTTATCTGCAGTGTCTGCCTGGTGTACTGGGAGCCAACAGATGAACCCTGGTTAGTAATGTTTTCAAACTAACACTGTCAGAGCTTACTATCCTAGTTGCTTTTATGTCATAAATCCCAATGCTGAAAACAAAAATCTGTTTGTCATTTCTGCTTTATATTATTATAAAACCAAGGTATTGTACAGTGAACCCTCGAAGATCGGGACTCATGTAATCTGGATTTCGGAAGATTCAGACAAAATTTGGGGGTTCCGGGGGCTAAGAAGCACTCCCAAAACAGAACAAAGATCATTTTAGGCCCGTGTAACTAAGATGTCAGCGTGCGGGACATGGGTGCCCGAGGAGGTGGGAAACATAACAGAGTTGTCAAGTGTTCTTTGCGGAAATATTATTTCATTCACTCTAGTAATGAAACAATGTTTCTTATTATGCTATCATAGGTAAATGCATGGTTCATATAATTTGTTTATCACTGTGCCCATGACCATTTTCAAATTAGACTACAAAATATGTATTTCTCCCATATTTCGATCGTACGCTAGGCAATGGGAGCAAGTAAGGGGAGTGAGTGACTGCTAGTTAGCGTGTCATCTGCTGTTGTAACTCTCCTCGCTCCCTGCCATATTTCACTGGATTTACTGTTATTAAGAGTGACATCTAAAGCAAGTAGTGGAGCGGCTGTGTTAAACTTTCATTTGGTTTTTATTTATTGGCTTGGCAATACAGTGTTGTTTGTTGTAACTTATTTATTGGTATTATTTTTATTTATTCTTCACATTGATTGGTACTGTATGTATGGCTACAGGAGGAAAATACACACAAAAGTTTTGTCCTAAATACTCCCTGCTAAAATGGGGGATGCGTCTTATGCTGTAAAATACAGTACTGTATTTTTGGTGTGTTTTATGTCATTATTTATTTTTATACATTTTGTACATTCGTTGGCAGGTCCAGACAATCTGCTTTTTCTGACAGGTGGTCCCCCCTTTTAGTCCGGATCTTTGAGGGTTCACTGTAGTGGTAGAGTTCCTGTGATGTTTTAACATCAAAGTGTTAGTGTTGACATAACGCTGTGTTTAAAAACTACAATGTTATTAATTTTTATGTTATGAACTAAAAACTAAATCCTATTGTTCTTTTATTTTTTTTCTATAGGTCAGAGCACGAGCGTCATTCTCCAAACTGCCCATTTGTGAAGGGGGAATATACCAACAATGTTCCGTTGTCTGTCACTTATGCCACAAGCCCTGCCCTGGCACACAGTGAACGCACCGAGGAGGTGGCCTTTATAAGTCACACTAACAGTCATCAGTTCATTGCTTCTGCAACAAGACATGGAAATATTGTTGTCTGGAATACAGCAAAGCAGTTGAAGGTAAATTATATAAGTACTGCACAATAATGTATTTTTTATTTATAAGAGAATAGGCCGTGAAATATAGATTAAAGGTGTATAATTCAGAGGTGGATGGTTAGAGTGAGAGGTGAAGGCCAAGCAGGAGATGCAAAGATGTTCTAGAAGTGAAGAGGATGGGCAGGCAGAAAGTGGTGTACATGAATGACTGGAGAGCATGAGGCCAAGGGGTTTTTTGGGACGTAAGTTCTGCTGATGGGTAACTATGTTGTATAAAGAGATGAGGAAAACTTGGATAGTTTTCTTGGGGCCTTTTTGTAATTGTGGAACACCATAGCAGTTACATCAGTAAGAATAGTGAATGCAAGCAATGGATAGTGTACAGTATAGTATAGTGTTTGCTCTTGTTACTTGCCTTAATTTTGAAACACTAAGGAAAACACTTTCCAGTTGAGTAAACATGTTGTACTGTACTTGGGACAAGTAGACCTCAGTGTGAAGTGGTGTGTTATTTTTTTGATTATGTAATATTTGGACTTGTTATGGTGACCATTTACTATTTGGTGTGAATGATGTTAGTTTGTAATGAAATGAGGCAACAAACAAGCACACTCATATTAATGACATTTCTCTTCATTTCAGAAGGAGGTAAACTTTTCAATCGATCCATCTGATTCTACAATATTAGATAAGCATTTTTCGGACACAGTTGGTTACACGGATGTGCCTCTGCAACCCCCGGCTCCCTGTGAAGCTTGGGCTTGGGGTGAGGATGAACAAAATGGTTCAACAAATAGTGAAAATGACCCCAATCTTCCTGGACCATATTCAGAGTCTGATACTCAAGCTGGGCTTTTAGTAGACACTGATGCTTGCAGTATTCAGTCACCAGGACCATCAACACCTCCAATTCCTCCAGCCTCGCCACCTCCCCCACCTCCACCCCCGCCTCCCCCTCCACCCCCTGCATCACAGGTTGTAGAGTTACCTCTTGATGATATAGCAGTAGGTAAGTTTATTATTTATTTACACAAGTATTGATGGAGTTTTTATCTGTGCACATATGTCTTCATTTTCTTACTCTTACTTCCCTAATAAGATAAAGATACTGTTAGGTTTTTACATGAACCGTCGCACCAATTTCTAGGTTTACATATCAGCTGAGGTTGTATCTCACTCCAGCATCCCAGTAAATTATTCAAAGTTTTTGTATTATTTCATCCAAAACTGCTGCATTTTGTCATATTTTACCTATCCACTCTTGACTGTTTTCAAAGATCATTAAGGATTACCCTATTTGGAATTTTGTGATGTCTGTTGGATGTTTTTAATGCAGGTTGACTGGAAATATTTCATCTGGAACATTTTTATTAGCTTATCATATTTTTAATTTACTTGCACTCTACAGTAGGAATATTCTAATGAAAATTGAATTGTATAAAACTGTGATACATTAATGTTTGTTTTTTCCACTTCATTAGATTACCTTTTTATTTTATGGTTACTCTCTATTATCCTTTGCAGTTTTCTTTCTCACAACTAAAGATCTCATTATGGACAGATATCTTCATTGACCTCGGGTCTCATAGGGTAGAAGATGAATTTTAATTTTTAATTTATTATATATATATATATATATATATATATATATATATATATATATATATATATATATATATATATATATATATATATATATATATATATATATATATATATATATATATATATATATATATATATATATATATATATATTTTTTAGATAGAATGTATATTTTGTTTTTAAAAAGGGTATACCATAGTCAGTTTGAAAGATGTTAAGAGGGGAAATGGGAAATGTGCCTAGGTTTTGCAGTAAAGTAAAAGAAGCAAGCCTGACAATGACCCTCCATCCAGTTAACAATAGCTGCAAACTGTTATACTGTCTTGTTTGAGTACTGCATGGCTTACTCAGTTGGGGGGGGGGCATCCCATTCTGTTTACTAAACAGCTGCCATCAAGTAATCATGGCTAACCCATGCAAGTGTGGAAAATGGCCATAAGCTGTTGATGAAGAATATGAAGAGAATCCAACTTGATCTGGCCATACAGTACTGTATCTGTTGTTATAAAACTTTGATTGGATATTTTTTAGGATCTTTTTTTTTATTTTACTGTTCGGATTCTCTCATTGTAGAGTTCATGTTCACCAATGTCATATGCAATGTTTTACTGCAAGAAAGGTAATTATGATTTTTTTCTCTTCAGATGAACTGTTTGCACCCCCTCGGCCATCACACGACGTGAGAGTTTCCTCATTGTGTGTTTTAGCAGATCCAAATGAAGTATCCCAAAGACTAAAGGGTGCTGCTATGAACTTGTCCTCTGCTCGCTCTTGTCTAGTGGTTGGGGTGGGACTGAGGCGTTATGAACTCTTTAGCACATCTAGTGGAGACCGTCAAGAAACTTGTGACGTGGGACTAGTGCAGGTGCTAAATAATGTTAATCAAGCGAGCCAAAGAGAAGCAGAGAGTTTGGACATTATGAAATTAGACTCGTCTAGAAGAGGATCCACAACAGGCGAGGAAAATGATGCGGACTGTGTTGCTGTGGAGTCAGAGTCAGCCTCGTTAAGTGATCCTGCAGTTGTGTCTACCTCGGCGTCTGCTGGTCAGCAGAACTTTGTACCATATTTGTTAGTGTATGACCTCAATGTAAACGTTCCACAGCCAACAACCAGTAATAAAGTGGCAACTAAATCAGTAAGCCAAGGACCTTATAAAAAGTCTACTGTTAAGGTTGGAACATTTGGCCAGACAAACATAATTACAAATCCTAAAACTAAGCAGTTGTGGTCAGATCCACCATTACTGTTACATAATGACATTGAAATGTTTTTCTCTCCACCTAATATGTTTGTGAAGAACAAAGGAACTGCCCAGGTGGGAACAACCTCAGTGTCTAAGTCAAAAGCCAAAGATAATCAGGTTACACCTGAGCCTCAATCAAAGAATGGTTTAAAGAAGGAACCTAAGTGCATCCAGTGCATTCCTCTTCCACATAAGTTGAATAGTGTTAAACTACGTCTTACAGTTGACCAAATAGTACCCACGACTTGTGGTGAGTATGTAGTCGTGACTCTGGTCAGAGCCGACGGCTCGGGCAGCAGCAGCTGTTCTGGAAGTGCACCCATGGATACTAGTGATGGTGCTGTGGGGGGAGTGAGGGAAGTGTACGGTGCAGTCATTGTGTACCGTGTGTGTCAGGGTGGTGAGGTGGTCATGCTGCAAGAGGAGCCTGTCAACACCAAACTTCTTGCATCTTGGGAATTTGTGCCCAAGAAACTGTTGCTTCTTCCCCCAGAGGTTTGTGCCAAAGAGGTTTTGTTTATGGTTTTTATTATCTTATGCTGTTCTCTTATCACTATTTTAATCCACACAAGTTTTATTACCTCATTGTCCAGTTTATTTGCTTTTGTAATTATCCATTGGTTTGTTGCATATATGAACCATATGTTGATCAGTTATTGTCTGTTTATTTACAGTGGTCCCTCGGTTAGCGAACGCCTCGGTTAACCAAATTTCGGTTAACGAATTACTTTCCATAAGAATCTTCAATTCGGTTAACAAAAAAAACTTGATTAACGAAATCCTTACAAAAATCACGTTTTCTTTGAACATCAACTGATAAGCTGAGGAGGTACTCAGCCAATTCAGTAATCTCTTCTATGTTTACATTGGAGTAAATATCAAGAAAATTGTGCTCTTTAATATTTGTGCATTTTTTTATACAATATTAAAATTATTGGTCATTCTAAAATTTAGCCATCCAAGCTCTGTCTACATAAAGTTTTTCAACTATTATTTTTGGCTCCATATATGTAACTTTATTCATTTATTGAATCTCATTTACATGCACACACTGTCCTAAGGGCAAAACTGAACTGTACATGTAATCAGAATAATGTACAAAATGATTACTAAAATTTATGTCTAGTGCAAACTATGGCATGTTTACATTCAAATTAATTACTGTCTTATAAGAATTCCAGCAATGCAAATTAAATTCATCCCAGTCACTTCTATTAAATTTTATTGGCAAAAAACAAAAACTCAATCTAAAGGACATAAATTAACAATTAAATACTTCACACCACAGGCGCCAACTGTCAAACATGTCACTGTCACCCCTCCCTCCCTACCCCCCACCTTCCCAAGAAAGGTTTGGGGGTTTTCAGTAGGCTTTAAGTTTTTATCTTGTATAATATCTCAGACTAAAGTTCGGAGAATATAATTTGCATTGCTGGAATCTTTGCAAGACAGCGAATAATTTTAATATAGACGTCATATATTTTGCACAAAAGATACAATTTTTGCTCTCTCTAATAAAATTCGTAAATTAGATCTAAAATTTGTATGTCTAATGCAAATTATAGCTTGTTTATATTCAAATTAATCACTGTCTTATAAGAATTCCAGCAATGTAAATTATATTCTGCCCGGTTATTTATATACAATTTTATGAGCAACCATATTGCCACTTCCATTCTGAGTAACTGAGGCTCTCTCGGAATATACAGAGGTGGTTTCCATATCTTTTTGTGAATAAATTTAAATTTTGACCATAGTGGTGTTTTGTTCACTCTTGTCGTACGTGCCTCTATTATACATTATTATGGTATTGTTTCATATTGACAAAAGCTATTTCCACAGGTGCTTCTTTTATGAGTCTCGGCGTAGCCCCACCAACAGGACTGTTTTTGTTTGTTCCTTTACCTACGGTATTAACTCTTCCCTGTGTGTTTTTTTGGTTTATCTCATGCTGAGGGTCCTCCTAGCATTTTCAGTTGTATTTTTTTTCTGTACAGTATAAGAAATATTGGTGGGGGGGAAGTGACAGTGACATGTTTGACAGTTGGCGCCGAAGGTCTAGTGAAGTATTTATTTGTTTATTTATGTCCTTTAGGTTGAGTTTATGTTTTTTTGCTTATAAAATGTCACAGAAGTGACCGGGGAGAATATAATTTACATTGCTGGAATTCTTATAAGATCGTGATTAATTTGAATATAAACATGTTATAGTTTGCACTAGACAAAAATGTTAGTAATCATTTTGTACATTATTTTGAGTACATGTACAGTACAGCTTTGTCCTGAGGACAGTGTAGCGTGCCCAGAGAAACATTAGGCGCAAAATTTTAAATATGATGCGCCAAATTGACTCGTGCAAAATAGGAAAGATTCGCTTTAAATGAAAACATTGTCCTTAATTGTGGGTGTCGCTTTGAATCAATAATCTTTAATTGAATCGCTTTAAATTGACGTTCTACTGTATATACATAATGATAAATTCCTGATGTCCACTGAGAAAAAGGACAAAAACACTGAACGTGAGAAGCTAATACATACTATCTTCAATATGCTACTACAGAAACAGATGGATAACAATATTGCTATACTATACCACCTAAGTTCCGGTTCCGGCTGGAACTTGATACTGTATTATGGTTCCGGTGCATCCCTAGTTGACATCTGTTGAGTACTGATCTTGTGAATGGTGGAGTCCTCGCCAGTAACAGAGCATATGTTCAGTCCCGTACTAGAGTGATAACTAAGGTGGCTAAGAATACAGATGACCTGAATGTCAGCATGTGAACTAACTGGCCTCATATAAGGTGCCTAAAAACTTATGGAACGAAATCTTATGAGACTGATTATCTCAGTTAAGTGTAATGGCTCACAAACTGCAGGTACCTTTAGCCATATTATCATATTAGCTAAGCAGCTACAGTAGTAATACAAGTTTGAATTATCATCTTAGTCACATTTCTACTGTACAGTATATATATTAAAGAAATTCTCTGATGAGTACAACAACTAATTCATTTACTGTACACTTGTTGAAGGCTAGCCAGTCACTCCTCAGGTGAGGTGCTTCCATCAGAGTTTTCAGGTGGGTCAAGTAGGAGAAAGCCCCATTGTAACTTGATCACAATTAGGAGGACTTGCATGTCCTGTGGGATTTTGTGGCTGAAAATGGTTAAGTTAACCTAATGCATCTTTCAAAGGATTTGTCGTTTTGGAGCTTTTTTGCCTTTCTAAATCTTTTTGAGAGGTCAGAGAGTAATTCCAGACCCCAGGTTGTTACACGAGTGAAGTTGAGCTTAAAAAGGGAATTCAGTAGAACCCTTTTGACTACCTGGTGGTGGGGTTCCTTTCCATAAATTGTGTGAATTTCCTAACTTCCGATCTAGATAAAGCTCATTTCCAGTTCAAGATACTGTACTGCAACTGTATAGGGGTTGTTATGGCTCGGAATTATGGCAAAGCTTTCTGTACTATGATGGTGACTAGGATGATTTCTGTAATGCACTTTGGGTCTGTTTCTCAGGGCTGGTAAGGAGCACATGAGAAGTGAGTCATGGTTTGGCATAAATTGGATTCCAAGCTGAGAAGGAGAATTTTTGAGATGTTAGTTTCAGTGGGTAGAGATATGGTACATGAGGACTAGTTACCACCCTTTTTGTTCATTAGGAGATTTGTTCCTTCCTGTCTCGAGAAAAAATTTCTTGCTACAATGAGGGGAAAATAGTGGGTCTATTAAATCTTAACTACTTCTCATAGTTTGGTATTGAATTAACTAGTGCTGGAGAACAGGTTTTTCATCCCTCTATGAAAATGATAGTAAGGTTCACTAAGGTCAGATGATGTCTGCCTTGAAAGATGCTTAATTATTTTGTAAACATTTAGATGCATGTACAGTACTGTAGTTCTCTGCTGCATTTGGTTTTAGGTTCTTCGTCTTCCAGGGTTACTTGCACTGTTGTTTCTATCCCTGCAGCCAAGGTGATATGAAAACCAGTTTGTTTATCTCTTTCTTAATCAGCTCATTTGACTTTTCAAAGGAATTTCATGCCCTTTGGTCCAATTGATGTTAATGTGTGGGTGGTTTGCCAGTGTGAAAATGGCATTACATTAATGAATCAATCCAACCATACATTCGTACACACAGTTGTGAAATCAACTTCTGCACCTGTTTTCCGTTAAATTTTTTGTCACCAAGGGTAAATGTTGTATTGTAAATGGATGGGTAATATGCATGTATCAATGTGATTCTCTCTTTCACACCTATAGAGCTGGGGTTATGCACTTTTTAGATGACTGTTGTCTTGTGAAAGGCAGAGTTACGTACAGTATTTGTAGTTAGGATTTTCTTTTTGTTCTTGAATTGTTTAAAAGATTCTTGATAATTTTTTTTTTTATCCTTTCAGTTTAGTGACAGTGACTGTGGGATAAATGGGGTAGCAGTTTGCATCACCATGGATGGAGCTGTACGGCTTATGTCTCTGTCAACCTTAGAATTCTTCCATCACATCGCAGCACCCCTAAACCACCATTTCAACAATATTGTCTACTGTAATAGTAAGTCAGATGCAATTATCCCTTAACTATTGTTGTGGTTCCTGAAATAGATTTCTTGTTTAAAATCCAGTAAGCTGGTCTGCTTGTCGGAAATCAAGATGGATATAGTTGAAGTGTATTTCTTAAGGAGTGAATGTGTTCCGACATGTAGTAGAGAACAATATGGTTTCTTTGAAGTGAATAAAATTACAGTTGGAGAAGTAGAGTACAGTATGAGTTTGAGTGAACTAAGAGAGCAAAAGGAGGGGAAGAATGAATAGCTGAGGGATAAAGTACGCATGTGAGAAAAGCAGATTTATTGAGGAATTTTTAAAAAAGTTCTGTTGTTAAGATACTTAGAATTACAGTTTCTATGTAATTAACTACCCCAGATATGAGAGAGTATATATATATATATATATATATATATATATATATATATATATATATATATATATATATATATATATATATATATATATATATATATATATATATATATATATATATATATCTATATATATATATATATATATATATCTATATATATATATATATATATATATATATATATATCTATATATATATATATATATCTATATATATATCTATATATATATATATATCTATATATATCTATATATATATATATATATATATATATATATATATATATATATATATATATATATATATATATATATATATATATATATATATATATATATATATATATATATATATATATATATATATATATATATACAGGTTTGTGTTGACTAAAACTGCTATTTTGATCAAAAGCATTCATTTATTCATATTTATATCCATACCTGAATCCTTTCTTGCTGAAGCTATCATACAACAATGAATAAGGTCATGAGGAGTGAGCGAAGCTTTATAGTAACAGATATTGGGAGATATTGAACATTCACTACAGAAAGTATCTGCAAGGTGAGGTCCGGTGGATATCAAAGTGAACTTTGTGACCCCCTGTTGCCGCGGTAATGTTGTCAAAATCCTTCGTCCGTTGTCTTATTGTTTAGCCAAAAATTTTGCTAATAATTTTTGTAGCAAGTGTACAGTTGGGGAAATGTGTTCCTTCACCCCCTCTGGTAACCTGTGTCTCCAAACGGCTCCATCACAGAAGTCATACCGTATCACTATTTTTGAACGAATGGGTATTGGTCATGTAACGACGGACGTGATTGGTGGATAGGGATGCTTTTGGTCATATAGGTTGGCCATTTGGAGACGCGGGCTACTTCAGGGGGTGTAGGAACACATTTCCGCAACTGTATATAATGTTCACTGGGTCACTATAATTAAGGGTAGATGTTGTTGATCGATTGTATCTCAAATTAATGGTTGGGTTTTTGGAGCCACAGCCCCTACAGCACTCTGCCTTCCTTAGGGAAAGAAATCATTATTACCCATTACCATATACATTATTAAGAAATTCATTTATTGATCTAAAATAACTTAGACTATGAATAAACAAAACACTTTCTATGAAACAATTATATTAATGGTGCACCAAGATAGATCTCTATATACTCATAACTCAATAGACTCAAGTTCACTCCAGCTTGACACAAAAATGGCTAATGGTGTGATATTCTGTATATATTGTGTGTGTGTGTGTGTCTGCCCTGTTATAGTCCACCATTGCATCAACCATTCAGTCCATGAAAAATGCTGGTTCTAGACATGGATAGGGATGTGTGCTGTGATATATGTTTTGACGTTAATGTTCTGTAAATTAACAGGCTTAGAACGACTGTGTGTTAGCTGTGAAGATGGCAGAGTCAACCTGATCCAGCTGCGTAAAGAGACTGAAATGGGTAAGGAGGCAGACACAGGAGCATCAAGCTCAGCATCTGCTGCCTCTGTACCTTCTACCATTGCTCCTGCACTAGCAAGGGAGCCTGAACTCATGCGTAAGTCCTCACTTTTGTGGAGAACGAATAAAGGAGTATTGAGTTATCAAAGAAAGGTGGTAAATAATAAAGAGAGATGCACAACAAGTATAGAAAATAATAAGGATGGATTCAAACAAATTTGATTGTTAATAAAACTACTGATCTTTGCAGATGGCATAAGGAGATAGATTACTTTGATTACCCATATATATTTCATAAGCATTTGTGATATTTTATTAAGGACATAAGTTTTATTAAACACTCACAAGGTATCATTTTGGAATATATACCGTACTGTAGTACTGTATTGTACATGTTTTAAGATATACAAGAATATTAAACCACAGTGTGATTACATTTCCTGTACTGTTTTGTCCTGCCTTTTCACCATTTCTAGTGTTGTAGTTAATATACTTTCTACAGTTTGGATACAGTACTTATATTATACACTTAGACCACAAATAGAGTAAATACTAGAACAAATTATTAGAGAAAATTGTCCGCTCTGAACCATACAAATTTTTCCGTTGAATCTTGAGTATGACAGTACTGTACAATGGTCCCTCGATTAACGAGCACAATTGGTTCCACAGAGTCAGTCGTTAACCGAAAATTTCGTTAACTGAATATTATTTTAACGGGATATTGGGTAATTGGTTCAAACTCAGAAAAAGTACATACACAGTACTGTATACCAGTAATAGAATTAACAAAACATTAAATACACTATAAACAAAATACAGTACAATAATAAATAAAAAACAATAGATTACTGTATTTTAACTTACTTTGAGGTGTGTATGTCGCATTCCCGGCAGCTTTGTTTACAGCTGATTGTAGAGGCAGTCGATGATAACATGCCATATTCTTTACAGAGTACATTGGTTCTAATGCCTTCTTTGTGTTTCTTAATAATTTCTGCACTGTATATTATCAATATGTTAACTAAATTACAGAATGACCAATAATTTTAGAGTAAAAATGCAAAAATATTCAAGAGACCAACAAACTCGATGTTTACTCCACTGTAAACAAAGTTAAACTGAGAAGCGTTGGTGGGTGATTCGATCAGCTGATGGACACACAAAAACTGTTCCCTGTACTGTATATATTATCAATATGTTAACTAAATTTCAGAATGACCAATAATTTGAAAATAAAAAATGCAAAAATATTCAAGAGCACAACTTTCTTGATATTTACTCCACTGGAAACTAATGTAAACATGGAACCGATTACTGTATTGGCGGACTAGCAGATCAGCTGATGCGTGCACCAAAGCGTGTTTCTCGTAAAGCTGTCGTTAATAGAAGTTGTACTCGTTAATAGAACTGAAAATCCTTATGGGAGCTAATTCGTAAACCTAAATCTCGTAAATTGAACCGCTCGTTAATGGAGGGACCACTGTATATATCAAGAGGGGTTCAGGAACCTAACCAGGTGATTCGGCGAGTTTCCGCTGTACATACATTACCATGCTTTTGTATAGAGTCCCTTTAGTGTGTGTTTAAGTGTACTTCTGTGGATCTATGTAGGAAATTTTGTTTTGTATAAGAATATGCACTTATACTTACACTAGGTGGCAGTTTATTTGATTTAATAGGGTACAATACAGTTATGTTTATAACCCCAAGAACTGGCAAAACTAAAGTGTTCAATAATTGATTTATATAGAATTTGAAGACTTGAGTTTTTATTCCCTACAAGTCAAGATTGTTTTTATTTAAGTCATACAACACCAACACTGATTGACAGTTCTCACATTTTGGGGAACTCAACTGTTGCTCTCAAATATACTGTAGCTGTGCCATAGTTGAACAAAATAATACCCCTTTTAGAATGGTTGTGATTTAGTTAATTGCATTTGAAAACCTGGTGGTCTAGTCTCTCCACTGTACTTAAAGAAGGATAAACTTAAATACATCCATATGTCCTCAGATCCCCTTGCATCATTGCTGTGATTTTAATTTTTTTCAAGGAATTTTATTGATAACCTTATTATTTCAGCTGGAGAACTACTGGTGAACCAAGGGCTGTCAGAAGAAGTGCTTGACAAGTGTGTAGAACTCACTCGGTTCCAGACAGGATGTCCCAAGTGAGTTAATTTGTAGATTTATTTCTGTATAATTAATTTGTCTTTCAAATTTATTTGTTTTTAATTTTCTTTGATTTTGCACAATAATACTAGTAATGTACAGTAATAATTACAGATGGTGTTCTTATCATAGTCATATTTGCTGAGGGCAGCAAGTCACGTTTGTCTTAGAAATATACTTTAAACTGTTTTTTTAACTAATTAATACTGTACCTCTTCTCAAGATATTGGTCTGATGTACCTTCTATGTTCCTCCATAAATGCTCCCTGTTTATTGTGCTTTTTGTCATTTTATTTTATTTTTTTATTAATATTTTTTTTCTCCATGTTTGTGGGGTTGATAAAGTTGTACAGAAACCTCAAAGAAGGGAGGTGGGGGGATAATAGGGAAATTGTTGAAAATAAATGTAGAAAGTGATTGGAAAGTCTTAAGACAACAAATAGAAATATATTCTCCCATGTAAACATTTCCTTAGCTGCCATACTTATTGAATCTTTCACATTTATTGTCTTTCAGTCTTGCTATGTTGCTGGAAAACTTTCTTTTACTGTCACAGTGCAATGTTTCTAGTAGCAGTTGTACTAATGAATAATTTAGCAAATTTTTTGTTCCAGTTGACCACTTGTATAATTATTTGTAATTTATACTTCAGATTTGTGGCCACTGTTCCACCTTGCTGGTCAGAAATCATCCAAGCTCAGAAACAACGGCGCAATCCCCAGCATCTACAACAACATGCTGAGGATATGGATACAACCCGCACTTGGCGATTGGAGTCAGATAGGTGTGTAAACATTCCCAGAACAAATACCATATACTGCAGCTTTTAAGTCAACCTTTGAAGCTCCAATTTTTATGTTCAAAACTAGAGGTCGTCTTACACAACAGGTATAAAATGTCAACCTCTAAGTACACTCCACCACTAGCATCATATTTTCACTACACCATTCTGGTAGGTCTCAGTCACTTAATTTCCAGCACTCACAAACAAGTTTTACCTAACTACTGTATAACATTTTTCCAGAAGGGTAACTGTTATTGAACTCAGCCGAAGGTCAGTGTTTACACTAGTCATTATGGGAGCCCCTATACATACTGACACCTATCAGAACATTGAAATATCTTTTAGTGTTAACTACGGTTTCTTGCAAATATATGTTACTGGGGCAGTTACTTGTAATATACATATAATGTACCTGGATTTTGTTTTAAATTTTACACGAATGTGCTGTAAAGTTGTTAACAAGGCAGACGCCTGGGAACAGCTGGCTGGCCTGCGGCAGCTCGGCCAGTGTTGCCAACACTTTTTCGTGAATGTCACTAGATTCATCCCTAAAGTTGTAACAAAGTTGCTAAATGCATAAAAATCTCGAGAAATCCCGATACATGTAAGACATTTATCTAAAAAGAGAATAGTTGTTAACAATGACTTGGCTAAAAGCCAAAAACCTACAAGTGGCATTAAAGGTAGACTGAAAACAATGAGGTCAACAGATGAATGACACTCTCTCTCTCTCTCTCTCAGTAGTCCTTGCATCCTATACATGTATTTATTTATATGTACCGATATTACTACTATTATTTATATTTTAATCTTTTATCAGTACCAGGGAGTGTAGACTTTGTTCGCTTGTTGCCACATACTACCAAAACAAAACATGGGAGAACTGTTAAAAAGTAAATGCTGGTAAGTTTAGCTGACACCGAGGACGTTGCTTTCAAATGACAGTTCAGGGGGTTGACTTACCTGTCAGGTATAGGCCTAGATCAATAATTTCAATTGAAATAATTAACGTCTTCTTTACGCCTGGTCGACGTATAGGCTGTAATATACGGTCCTTGAAATGTACAGAAAAAGACAAATTAGATACTTGATCATATAATTAGGGAGGAGGGAAGGGAATAATAACAAATATTTATGGTCACAGTTGAGGGTAGAAGGGCCAGGGGAAGGCAGAGACTGGGATGGATGAATGAAATTGGTAAAATCAGCCCGAGAATGTTTAAAGAGTAGAGGATTGCGGTCGTCATCCCTCAAATATGAGGGCAGTACTCTCATTGATTGCCTCTGGGGGTCCATATTATTTAGCCATCCAAGTTAGTGGGTTAAAACCTTGGCTAACCTCAGAAAAAGGTTGCTAGAGAATAATAAAAATATTATCTAAGGTTTTTCCCATAATCTGATCCCTAAATAAGGGTTTGCCATATAAAGCAAAACTACAGGGTAATTGCCTCATAAGCAGTGTGTATCCCTCCAGTCATGTCTTGGTTACAACAAAGTGACCACACCAACAAACCTTGCTTCAGCCCAAGTTTACTATGTTCAAACTGTGGCTGTAACTGTTATTACTCAATATCTATTGCTGTAAGAACAAGATCAGTGCTTTAGTATTTGTTTGTGTTTTTGTCATAATTTATTTATGGTAGATTCTCAGAGCCATAGTATTTATCTCAAGATGATGTGAAGCATAAATTCTTAATGTAAGAGGAAGGAGCAAATAAGAAGTGACAGGAAGAATGTCCTTAAAAGCACTAAGTGAAGTACTGTAAATAAAATGCAGAAGATAAGAAATACATAAATAAGGATAAATGGAAGTGGAAGCAGAGAGCAGATCTTCATCTCCTTGGGTGTTATGGTTACTTTGAGAGAATGGGAAGTGAAAGATGGGAAAGAAGGTTGTAGGTAGTGAGAGAAGACCAAGGAGATGGAAGAAAGGTGTGAAGGATACTCTACAAGGTTGTGGGTTGAACCTCTAGGAAGGAGCATTTTGTGTGAATGAGTGGAGAGCATGGTATTGAAGCTAATTGTAGAACATGAGATTTGGTGATTTTTATGGAAGAATGTGCTGCTTTTGGGTGATGCTGGCTGTGACAAGTAAAGCACATTTGGGGCCCTGTTGTGGAAGGGGACTACCATTACCAAAAATTATCATTTACAGGATGATAATGAATGAAGTGCATACTGTGTGTGTGTTCATGCGTGTGCTCTCTTGGTTCATGCTACCCTGCATTAAATGGTAAAAGACTTCCGGGCTGACACATTCACAACAATTCTGTCTGCTGGGTTTGAAACCTCGCCACTCAGATGACAAATATGGGTGCTACCAAATGTACCTCAAATAGCTAGCCAGCCACTACTAGCCCAGGAACAAGGAAATGATGATGTTTGTACATGGCAAATACTGTTTGAAACTGGTGTTGCAGAGTGAAGGCAGAAAGAGAAAAAACCCATGATGAGGGGGAAGGGTCATCACTTTCTTAAGATCTCTTGTGATAGTGCTTCCTTGGGCCTTAGGATCATCATCGTCATCATTATCACTGTTGATGAAGATGATTGTGATACAAGTATATTCAGTTGATTGGTCAGTTGGCTTCCATTGTCCTTTCACTGCCATATTCATTGAAAAATGAAAGTGGGTGAATTTCAATAACCAGATGATGAAGACTTAAAAGTGTTATTTTTTACCTTGCAGTTCAACCTGGGATGAACATCTATTTGAGTTATTGCTGCCAGCTGGGCCAAGTGGAGTTGGTACAGTTCAGGTTGGTCACATTGACCTCAAACTCAACTTCATACCTGGACCTCCCAACCCACTTCCTGTATTACAAGTAAGTTGACTTTTTTTTTAATTATAAAAATTTGTTTTACTATTTGGGATAAGTAATCTACAAGTTTAGTTTTGAAAATTACTGTTTGATGTGCTAGCAATAGATGGATTATTTGTATTTTTTGTACATTAATGTCACTGTATTTTGATTACATTAATGTCACTGTATTTTAATTATTCATTAGTTTCATGGTCAAATAATATTGTTGTGATACAGAAGTTATGTGTGTGTGTGTGGAGGGGGGTGGGGGGGGTACCATTTAAAAGAGTTGGCTAATTTTCCCCAATTGGTGAAATGGGAAGGAAGTCAGTAAGCATTGACTACCATTCTTCTATCCATTCATAGCTGAAAATGTATTTTTATAAACTATACAAATTTAATTTATATTTGGAACTAGTGTTAAGTCCTGTAGTATACTGAATGATGTTGGAAAAATTTTTAATCATTAAAAATGGTGATTTAGTGATAAAAAAAATTTAATGAAATATTCTGTACATAAATGTCTGCCATAGTGTACTGTTAGGGAACATCTGTTGCTGGGCAGTACCTAACTTGTTACTGTTGAAACTTAGGATGAATATGCTGTGTAATATCTCCCTGTAGCCTGTAGGATGTGATACAGATTTAAGTAGTTGTTGGGGGGTTGGGTCTGTGTACTAGTTGAGCAAGTAGCAACCACTTTTCACAATTTAATAAAAAAAAGTTCACCTGAAGTCTCTCACAGCTTATTTCATCTAAGATTAACCACCCTAATGGTGACCTAACCTAACCTAACTTCATCGCCCCATATCTTTAGGTGAAATAAGTTGCAGGAGAATTAAGATGATCCAAACTATAAATGTGGTTCAGTGTTCACCTAGCCAGTGAATGGTTACCTGTTTGGATTCCTACTGAAGGAGATGACAAGGTTCCCTCCATATCCACTAGCTCTTGTGCACTCTGTAATGAATGAATATTTTATCTGGTTCACCAGTTGAGGGTGGAACAAACCTTTAGTAGACAAGTAACCTGGGGGGGTTAAACCACTAACTCCTCGGTACTCATTGCACGACTCGCAGCGATGACTTAATTTGCAGCTCTTGGAAAAAAAAAAAAAATATATATATATACATGTATATTTTATTGTATATGTAAAGGCTACAACAAGCAGTTTCTCTTAATGATGTATTAAGCTAATTTGCGGTAGATGCGACTCTCTCAATGAAAGTGTTTTGCTAAATTTTATTTTATTTTATTTTTATTTTTTTACTGGGATTATCCCACCTGGGCACAGATCACTGACCCACATCGGAACTTGGGGGGCAAAAATGTAATACAGTAATATAATAATTCATAATAAAAAAAAAATAATAATAATAATAAAGAAAAATCAAATCAATATTGAGAAATGATAGATGTATGTTGTGTTGTCAAAGTAAGAGAAACAATTGGGACCCTGCAGTTGTGTGTAAATGAGGCAGAAAGTCAGATCAATAACCTGGGACTTGGTTACAATTTTTGTGATGCCATATGGTAGCAGGGTCTACCATTAGACAATACATTATGCTTCCATTATCTTCCCAGGCGGTAGTACCTCCCTATTTGGTAGCTGCCTACTACCTAAGTGGTTCCCTTGCAAAAATTAGTGAATAACACTGCACTAACTGCTGAGAATTATAGGATCAACACCTGCTTGATCAACCTTTTTCTTAGCAGGAAAAGTCTTGTATGAATCAATGAATGAAAACATTGAACAATTGGTTGCCAGAACTAGGTGGCTCAAGTATACTTTGTTCTCAGGCAACTTATCATCAGTAGCCAGGACTGATCAGAATGATTAATAACCTAACTCAATTATAGTCTTAAAAAAGTGGGCATTTAGGAGTAATGGCTGTTTCCTCATGAACAGTAAAGGGAAAAGATCAAATGATGATATTTCTGAAGCTAGTGCACACCTTTAAGTGATTCATCTCAGATTATTTAGCACTGTTTAATGGGTTTTGCCTGAATCATTTGGTTCTCAGTGTTAGTTTTAAGTTATAAGTTGATTATAGTTTGTTAATAATCTTATTTGAGTACAACTGAGAATTCAATTAGGAACCAGCAACACCCATTCTGTGTCAAGGTATCAGCTGATTTTGCAGTGAGTAACTAATTTGGTGTTTTGACAATTTGTTTTCCCAGCTGACTTTAGTTACAAAGTACAGTTGAGGTGATTGATTGCTGAGGCAGTCACATTACCTCCTTTTGTACCAAGTCTTTGTACAGGTACAGTATACCCCATTAGCTATTTATTGGTTTGCAATTTGTAAGTTAACAATATTATGTGCCTTATTGAAAAAGCCTCATAAGAAAGTAAGGCTTCTTCATATTTCATGCATTTGTAAAGTTCATATCCTTGCAGTGTTCATCAACAATTAGAACAGCTACTGTTACCTCTTCCAGTTTTTGGCAGGCATAAGTTACTTAACCTTTGAGGTTTAGGGATGAATGAGACTAGATTCCTGGAAGACATCCTCCAGGTCTCCTGGGTCTAGTCTGATGGCTTTCCAAGTGCATAATACTTGAGCCACCACAAAATGGGATTTCAAGATCAATAATTTATTTTTAGCATAGAAATACTGTATATTATAAGTCTCAGCCTTGAATTGTATGGATGTCATTTAAAACTGTAGTTTTCCTTAGGGTATTCTTTAAAGTCTAGGCAGGGTACTGGTAAGGTGAGTAAAAATTAACGCAGATTTGTGTAATTTACAGGTAACCCTATTACGTCAGAATCTTGCCACACCTCGTAGGCAGACAGTACAACCGGGTAGCAGTGCGTCATCCAGCACAGGTGGTAGTGCTTCTCCCTCACACAATCACACCCCCTCAACATCTAACATCCCAGATGATATCTTGGGTAAGACTTGATAGAAGTTTATGTTCATCTGTTTCTGTACCCAGTTTGCTGTCTCTTCTGTGGTCTATAAGCTGTCACTGTTTACTGAGACACAAGTGTTCAGAAAATCTAATTTTAACACTAATGTACCTTTGGATAGTCACTTGGATATCTATGGGATTACGGTATATCCAGATTTTAAAACTTAAAAATTTCAGGGTTGCGAAACAACTTGCTGAGTGTGTGGTTGTTAGAGGCTGCATATTCATGTGATGTTTAAGTTAAAATATTGCACTTTTCAGAAGACTATCCTGAAAATCCAGTCCTGACAAAGGAGTTCCAGTACACTCACAATTCTGAGATACTGTGTGGCCCAGTGACAGTTAACCGCTGCATTGATTTATCAGGCCAGGGGGCAAACATAACCCTCACCTCTCCCAGTTTATTGGCTTGTCGGAGTAGAACTTACCTGGTGCATATAAAGGCTTTACCACCAAAGTTGGCCCAGCAACAAACACAACATCAGCAGTCACAACAGCAGCAGCAGGTATGTATTTACACTAATATTAAATTACTACTTTTATTCACATTATTTCTCTGTAGTTTCATAGGGGAATAATTTTACTGTGTAGTCCCAGCAATTAAAATCTTCCTTTTTATTGTGTATCCTATATTTCTTTTATATAAAAAATCTTGCAACAGTGTTGACTTTCACTGAAACATAGAGGATCTTAAATCGCAGATTAAAAAAACTACATTCCTCATTACTCTATATCTGTGATGGGCTTATTATATATTATGGTGTGTAATACCAGGGTGACATATGGAAATCTTGGATCCTTGTTTTGGAAGACATCTAGAAAGAGTGAATGACAAGTGCATGGAGGGAATCAGTGTTTCACATGTTACCAACCTACCTGTGCCTGAGTGGAAAACACCAATAAAGATGAAAAAATATATAAAAATAAAAGGCAAAATATTTTAAAATTATTTTAGTCAGTTACTGAAGCACAAAAGCTATTAGACATCATGTGTTATGATTTGCCCAATGATAATATCCTATAAATCCATTTAATGAATCACACAGCTTCATAAGTAAATTATTGAATTGCTAAATTATCTTGAAGCCACAGATTAAGCATATTGTATGTCTAATAATGACCTTTTTTTTAATAGGACCTACAGAAAAATAGTGACCTTGACCTTGTTACTCAGTACATGCCACCACAGTCCTCCACATTCCTGGACCGCCTGGCAGCATCCTCCAATAAGCGTGTGGACTTGGTACGAGGCTGTGACATCATTCAAGAGCTGTCCATCACGGTCAGATGTTGTATAAAGACTACTGTTACTCATGAAAGGTATGTCAATATTTTTCAACTCATGCAGGTGTTTGTCATGAACATAAATAGTCAGCCTAAACTTTTCAAAATCCTTCTCTGTTTATTTTATGAATTTCATTCTCAAGTATAACTAACCAGGGTTCTGAGGACCCCCAACATTGAATAATTAGTGGGCCTCCTGCAGCAACCATAATCCTTAATCCTATAATAAAAAGAGGTCTAGGAGGTTAACACAGGCACTTGTTAACTTTCATGTGACTTGACTATAAAGTATCATAATGTGGTTTGACCACTTAGTAACAAGCAGCAGAGCTGATTTAATTGATGCTCCAGCTTTGCACTGTCTTATTGGAAGTCAAATACTTAGGTAGAATATAGCTGTCCACATTGTTTTTAGTATTAATATGTTGTATTAATTGGGTTTAGCACAGCAATGTTCTTTAGTTTGGCAAACATACTATACACTGTATCTGTATTCTTTAGTTGGGTTTAACACACGGCAAACAATCACTTACATTACTCAACAACAGAGTGTGAAAGCGACAAGTGAGTTGCCTTAACTCCAGGATGTAGTAACTCAGCACACTTATGACAAATTTAATCCAGATATGGATGTCTGGCCTAAGGATTCTAAGACGTTATATCCTGGTGTGATTCTGAATGGAACGTTGGGGAACTTTCTTTCAAAATTTCAGTTGGGTCACAGTTTATCCAACCTTTAGGAGTTTATCAGTTCTGCATGTAATGTGCTGTTTGGAGAGTTTATAATGTGCTTATAAATGTTTAAATTTGGATATAAATGAACCCATTTGGGAATTGACAGCTGTCTCTTTCTGGATTAAACTATTCAGTGAGAATTATTACATTGTTTACATCCTCTTTCCCACTAAGCCTGTAGGTACAAACAGTACCTAAGCTCCTTGGATTTTATCCACTGTCCATTTTCCCAAGTAATATACCCAAGAGTGGATTAATAGGGATTGCCTCGCATTACTGAGTTAGGGTAAATTACTTGTCTGTTCATCGGTTGCAAAAATATAGTATCAATTATTTGCTTTGATTTTATATTTGAGCATGTTGTTGCTTCTATAAGATTTACTTATGGGATTATATAACTTTCTTTTCAGATAAATCATGAAGTTAGGAATATGAGCAACTAGGTTGCAAATGAGTGATTCACTCATGATTTTCTTTGACCTCAGTGAATACATAGCCTGTGATAAATTACTCGATTAGATTTAAAGCCAGACATCAAAAGCCAGCACTTGCTTTATTCAAAGAAATAGCTTTACTCTCCTAAAAGCTGTGAGTGAAATATAACAAGTAAGCTTTATGCAACTACCTTGGGTATATTTATTAGGATTTGTGAAGCTTTGAAACTCTGTTCCACTTTTAGTGGTACAGTAGATAATTTTATAAATTTTTCAGATTTATATTTGCCCCATACAGGTACAGGGACTAGATTATTGGGTACTCCCTTGTATATTGTGCAAAGTAAAGTCCAAAAGGTTTGCAGAGGCAACTACCAGGAAACCATGTAGAATTTGTGCTTGCCTTCTTACACTTAAGTTATTCATGGTCAAGGAGCAGTAGATGCATGTTAGCACGGTGGCAAAGATTCGGCCTCCAGCCTGAATGGCAGCTGATGCCTCCTAGACCCAATTTTTTCAAGGAATTGTGATATGTTGCAAAAAGAAAAAAGAAAAAAAATATTTTATTTTTTATTTTTTCCAGATTAATTTTTGGTATTTAGTTTGTCACTTATGTTACTGTCCTTAGAACCCTGGTTGTCATACTGTAATCTTGTTGACATCATGAGTCCCCATGTCCATACTTAGTTATAAAACAATTTATTTGTCTTGGAATATAATTATCTTCCTAAAAAATTATGAAAATAATATAAGAACACTTCTCACACCACAGGCAACAGAGACTATCTTTGGTGGAGAATGAAGCCTTCCACAAAAGTTTGTTAGAAGCTGTTATCAGCGACACCTCAACTGACCATATTCGTCACAGAGCTCTTGACTTGTTGTTATGGGTTACCTCTATACATACTGCTGCAGGTAAGATCTTAGTGTGTTCCCACCTAATATGTGTGATTACAGTACCATTCACAGCTGGGTGGACTGTGAGGGCCTCAGGATTGAACCAGTGACCCTTTAGACAGGAGGTGAGATCCATGTCCACTCAGCCACTGCATCACTATTCACTGTGCAACAACATTTTAAAGTACACAGTATGCAATTCAATACTTCCTATCTATTGGTATTATAATTTCCCTGTAAAAGATACTTCAAGAAATATTTAAGAGTATTTGTGCATTTTTAATTATATTTTTTTGTTTCCTTCTGCAAACGTTATAGGTTTGAATGGATGATTTACATTTTGTGCTACAGTTTTATGCAGGGCCGGATTAACCATTAAGCAAAATAAGCACGTGCTTAGGGCACCAAAAGAAGGGGGCACCACAGGTTTTTCTTCTGAAGGTATTATGCCTTGTAGTGACCAGATCATATTTGCAATAAAACCTAATAGGCTGGTGTAAAACCGCCGTATAAAATTGGTGAAAAATATTTATCCCATTTTGTTCGTTAACTATGTTTTGTAAGAGTTTTAAACCAAGAGAACCGTGCTCCATTTTGTTTTGTTTTTAAAGGACACGTTGCCCAATGGAAAACGGCTTTATTTTATAGGCGTTCAAGAACGTTCCTGAACGTCCGAAATTGTCTAAGTTCGTTCCCTCGCTTCTCAGCCCTCACTCAGGCTCTTGCAGTATCAACGAAATGTGTCTATTTTAACGTGTGGTATGATGTGGATTGTGTTAAGTAACAAGTAAGTTCCTGAATTTCTCATTAATTCAATTATTTAATATTTACAAAATAAAGAGGTAGATTTTTTAACAATACCGTATAAATATATTGTGTTACTAAATTAAGAGCGGTAACTCTAGGCCTAGTTGTTATAATAAATAAGGTTAAACCAAAACTGTCTAATTTAAGTGATTTTATAATTATCAAATGTTGAAAAACTTCAACACTTTTTATTTCTTAATTGTCTTTAACTGTATTTGTTCTAGTTCTAGTCTAACATCAATGATGAGAAAATTCAACTGCTGTTAGACTATATCTACATGATATAGATCAGTTAAGTGTTGTACTTCGATACATAAAAGATGGGCAACCTATTGAGCGCTTTTTAACATTTCTAGAACGAGGAAGCCATACTGGTGAGGAAATGGCAAACCGGACGTTGCAGTACTTACGTCATGTTTGCAAACTAAATTTTTCAAAATGTAGGGGTCAGTCCTAGTAAAATGCTGCTAACATGTCTGGGCGTTATAGGGTGATGCAGCAACAATTTTTAGAAGAAAATAAGTTTGCCATATAAGTGCCATGTGCAGCCCATTCACTAAATCTGGTAGGCCGAAGTGCTGTTGACTGCTGTCGGGTGGCAGTTAATTTTTTCTCAACAGTACAGTTGCTCTATACATTTTTTCAGCCTCAACCAGCCGGTGGAAAATTCTTAAAGTTAGTCTTTGAAATGAAAGCGCGTTAAAATCCCTTTCTGATACAAGATGGCACATGCTGTGGCAACAGCAGCAATTCTTAAATCTTTCTTTGAGATTTTGGAAGCTTTAGAAAGTCTAGCAGAAGACGAATCACACTAGAAGAGAGGCAGACAATATTGTAAATAAGATGCAAGAGCTAGAATTTGTTTTAATGTTGATCATCTGGGATGAGATTTTGCAAAAGTTTCATAGAGCAAGTAAAGTTCTACAAAGTGAGGACATGAACTTAAAAACATGTGTAGATCTGTATGCGTCATTAACTGATCAACTCTGCATTTTACGAGATGATTTTGACAAGATTTGAATCACTCGCGAAGGAAATCCTACCAGATGTAGATGATAATGCAGCGCAAACTCGCAAGCGTATCAGAAAGAAGGTACCCAATGACGGATATGCATTAGAAGTAAATCTGAACCCCAGAGATAAATTTCGTATCACCACCTTTTACACAATTATTGACAAACTCGAAACCCAGATGAGAAGAAGAGGAAAGGTATACACAGAAATAGCGGACAGATTTTCTTTTCTAAGTGATGTACCAAATGTTGTATCATCATCTACTGAAACTAAGAGGTATGTTCAGTGTTCTCAAAGGCTAATTGATGCTTACCCAGAGGACTTGGACATTAATTTCTCTACTGAGCTTCAGCAGTTTCACTCATATGTGCGCCATAAGTTCAGTGCAACTGAAACTGTCACGCTGAACTTTATAAAATAATTTTAGAAGACAAACTTGAATGTGCTTTTCCAAATTTTGAAATTGCATTTTGTATATTTTTAACATTTATGCTCACAAATTGCACAGCTGAGCGTTCGTTTTCTCAGTTGAAGTATATTAAAAATCCATACAGAACACCTATGCGACAAGGGAGGTTGGATGCCTTGTCTCTGCTAAGCATAGAAGCAGATTTGTTACGGCAGATTAGTTTTGAGGACTTGATCAAAGACTTTGCAATTAAAAAAGTAGGAGAATTTTTTTTAAAGTATAAGTAAATCTATAAGCATTAGTAGGCGATTTTAATCCATGTACATGCAATATGTTAAAATTTTGAATCTGAATTTTCATTCTTATAACAATTTATTTAAAAAATAATAAAAAATGATGAAAATTAGCATTTTATCTGTTTCCCTGGATCCTGGTTATAAGTTGATAATTTGCTTATATTGCTTACTGTTACTTAGTGTAAAATAAATAAAACCCACTTGTATTTAAAACAATTATAGGATCTGGCTTGTGGGATGGCCTGGAAGAAACCTGAATTTTTTATCATATTTCAACATCAGTATTCATTGAGTCTTAATCATGGTCTTAATATCTTGTCAGTTAAGGAATGGGAGGGCCGAGAGGGCACCATTGTTGGGCTGTGCTTAGGGCATCAATTGGCCTTAATCCGGCCCTGGTTTTATTGGGAATGGATTGGTGAATCCCGGATTATAAATCTGTAGATTGGGTGGGACATGTTTATGATATACTGTATGCACCATTTTTATGTTTTTACTGCAAAGTGAAGACATTCTGGTTGTCCTGTTGAAGACAGATTTTAGGTAAGGAACTGGAAATGAATGTGTCTTTTCTCTTTGCAGTTGATGACCATACTATCAGTGTTGGGATCATTACCATGCTACAGCTCCATCTCTCAGGACTAGTACGCTCATGTATGCTACTTGGGGATCGAAGCGTTGCCCACAAAACATCTAAAATAATAGTTACTGCCCTTGAGTAAGTTATCAAATTACCTGCCATAATATGTGTACCAAATCTGCCTTTTCTTGATGGTCAGTTACTATTTATTAATATGCAATTACCATATTCAGTCTTTTCATAATTTTCAGTGGAAATTATAGTACAGTATTGCAATAGTGACATGCTAAGTAGAATTTTAATTTGTAATGGGAAATGAAAATATTGTTAGAAGATTTTTTTTATTTATTTTTTTATAATCACCGTGTCTGTCAAGAGAACCATCAGGTGTGTTTTGTAGACACTTTAGTTTCATCTCACTTCCACGTTGTTACTAAATGTTTGGTCAAAAGTAGACATATTTCTGGATGTTTTTGTTTTTACTTCCCAGGTGTCTTTGTACACTTAATATATAATAAGAATATAATTGTCTTTTTTCAGGGGCTCACGTGTTGTTGAGGGTGGCACAGTGTTTGGCTGGGCTGTCCTGGAGGCTTTATTGGAGTGGTTGGATCATGTTCTCCACTGCCAAAGTGCTGGTGCCCTTCACTGGTTCTTTACTCTCCTGAACCATGTTAAATGGTGTAACCCTTGGGGCACTGCACGCAAGGTATGTGTGTAGTACATTTTCATTTTGAAAAACCATTACAGTTGCCTTGGCTTTATATCCATGTGACTTAAATTTGTGTTTAATATGTAATATTTTTTGTCTTGGCAGGTGACTCAGTTGTTAACCATGATATCAGAGGCTCTCAACAAGAAGGTGGACCCACTACATGCAGTATTACAGACTAGGTTCAACCTCTATGGGACACCATTTGAAAGAGAGCTCTTTGATACAGATCCTCCCTTGCTTGCTAAACAGACGGTAAGTTAATTTTTAATTCTTTGAGAAATAGTCTTGAAAGATACAAATTTCATTTTGTAATAAACTTGAATTTTGATTATTTTTGGTAATGTAATGTTAATTATCCACTGCTTTGGGCCACCCCAGCATTCTTTGCCAATTCTATCACTACTGGCAACCCAAAATAGTCCTTCCATAGTATGTACCAAGAGGGAATGAAATTGATTGTGATCAATTGTGTAAATTTTTACAATCCAGTTACAGTTGCCCACAGGTCGGAATCACTCGTTGTTGGCAACTGCTCTCCTCGCATTACTGATTCACTCACAAAGTGATTCTGACATTGCCACATGTTCGGAGAAGCCACCGAGGGATGGGACACTATACCTTTGGGCAACTGTATATCAAATCAGCCAGTTACCAAAGAGATGATATGCAACATGTGTATCTCAATATAGCCATCCCTCCAAACCTTACGTATTTTTAAGCTAATAGACTGTTTTATGTTTCATCATCTTGTACTTTTTAAAAATGGAGAACTGTTGAATTAACTTCCAATAAAAAATATAAGATTTTGATCTGGGTGTACAAATTAAACTCTTTAATATGACCTCAGCTAATTACAAGTTATGTGCTACAGTATACTCTCGATTTAATAGAATCAGATATAACGAACTCTCGATTTAGTGGAAGGATTTTTTCCCTTATTTTTCACTCGATTTAGTGAATCAGTTCGCTAAATCGAGATTAATTCCGCTAATACGCTCACATCTACAGAGACACCTCAGACACTTTTTTTTTATGGGAATTAGCCCACCCGGGCACAGGTCAAACGACCCACAACGGTGCCTGGGGGACGAAAAAAGAACAGAAAGAAATTTAACATTGGGAAGAAAAAGGTTAGACTGTGTTTATCTACACCACGAAGATGCCGGAAAACCAGCTTTTTAAAGTGTGACAGATTGTATAAGTATGGAAACAGAAGAAGGCAGAGCATTCCACTGTTTGGCTGTGAGGCAAGAAGGATGTACTATAACGGGTTATTCTAGTGTAACCGACATCCACAGAGAAACGGTGGGCACTACGGGCAAGACGTGTGTTACGAGCCCACGGCCTTGCCGGCGGTACACAGGATGCCAAATCCACCGAACATTGTCCGTTAAAGTACCTGTAAAAGAGAGAGAGTGAAGCAACATTACGGCGAAAAGAAAGGGAAGAGAGATTGTCGACTAAAGGAGGAGAGTTAATAAGACGAAATGCCTTTGATTCCACCCTATCTAATAGTTGGACAGAAGAAGAGCCATCCCAGAAATGAGAGCAGTAGTCCAAGTTAGGACGAATGAATCCCTTATATACTTGGAGCAACTGCTCAGGAGTGAAGTAGCTACGGCATCTGTACAGCATTCCCAACTTTCGGGAGGCGGCTTTAACTATATTAAGGATGTGTGATTTCCAGGACATATTGGAGGAAATGGTGAGGCCTAACATATTTATTTCAGAATTTGGCAGGATGATAGCGTCCTGAAATGTAATTGGTGGGAGATCGTCTAATTTACAAAGTGTAATTGGTAAATATTGAGTTTTATTACTGTTGAACTTAACCAAGTTTGTACCTCCCCATTCAGAGATGCTGCACAAATCTGCATTGATAGAAGTAATGATATTAGCTCTAGAAACAGATCTAGTTTGAGAGTTAGGAGGAAGGGGAAAATGTGAAGAAGAGTGAAGAGTAGAATCATCAGCGTTAGAATGGATAGAATTAGTTGTAGTGTGAAGAAATAATTGATAAAAAGAAGGAAGAGAGTAGGTGAAAGAACAGAACCCTGTGGGACACAACTATAGGCAGAGAAAGAATGAGAGATCGATCCCTCAACAACAACTGCCATGGATCAGTTCTCAAGGAAGCTGGAAATTAGAGAACAATGTGGGGGAGAGAAACCATAAGAGGGAAGTTTGGAAAGCAAAGAGTTGTGCCATAACCTGTCAAATGCTTTGGAGATGTCGAGGGCCATGACGAAAGTTTCCCCATAATCCCTAAGAGAGGATGACCAAAGATGGGTGCAATAGGAGAGCAGATCACCAGTAGATCTCGCCTGGCGAAAGCCATAATGGTGATCAGACAAAAGAGAAAGGCATTCAAGGTGACACAGAAAATGGGAGTTCAAGATAGTTTCAAAAATCTTAGAGGGGTGAAGTTAGGGCAATGGGGCGATAGTTAGAGGGATTAGAATGGTCACCCTTCTTCGGGATGGGCTGAACCAAGGCATGCTTCCAAGAGGAAGGAAAAGTTTGGGTTTTGAGGCAGAGGCGAGCAAGCACAGGGGCCAGAGCTTCAGCACACTTCCTCAGAACACGAGGGGGTATTCCGTCTGGTCCATGCGCCTTACTCACATCAAACCTGGATTACACACCGGCAACCCTGCGAGTGGAGATTATAGGAAAGTGCATAGGTTCAGTAGGAGGTGCAGGGATGGGAAGGATAGAGTGGGAATCGTCTAAGGTGGAATTAGAGGAGAATAAGGTGCCAAAGAGGTTGGTTTTGTTAGGGGGAGAGTTGGCTATAGAGTTATCAGATCGGAAGAGAGTCGGAAAAGAAGGAGTGCAGAAGTTGTGACAGATGTTTTTGGTTAAGGACCAGAAGGATTTACTAGAGGAAGAATTAGACAGGACAGCGATCTTTCTTTTAATAAAATTACGCTTGGCCCTACGAAGAGTAGCCTGACAACGATTCCTAGAAGTAATGAAAGAGGTGTGGGTAAAAGGAGGAGATAGCTTCATAGCTCGATATGCCCTATCTTTCACCCTGCAAGCAAGAGAGCAGGAGCGATCAAACCATGATTGTAATGTGAAAGTTTTGGTAGAAGATGGGATAAATGCACTCATACTGCACTGTATAACCCCAGCAATGCTGTCAGCACATACCGAGGCATCCCGAGTGGAAAAGCAATATTCATCCCAAGGAAAGTCCGTGAATAATTCTTGCAAGGATTGCCAGCTTGCCCTCCGATAGTGCCATAGTTGACGTTAAGGGGGTGTGGGGAAGGTGGTTGTGCCCAGTTTGATTTAATAGAAATAAGGTTGTGATCAGAAGACCCCAAGGGGGTCAAAGTCATGTGTGTACAGTAGTGCATATACGAGGTCTGTCCGGAAAGTATCCAGCCATTTACTATTAAAAAAAAAATATTGCTTGCCTAGGACAATGGCGCCTTAGTCCCCTTCAAAGTACTCTCCTTAGGACCTCACACACTTCTCCCAGCGTCCCTTCGACTTTTCAAAACAGTCTGCAAAGTCCTCTTTCGTGATCTTCATCAGCTGCCTCGTCGCATTCTCCTTAATCTCGTCCACGGTCTGAAATCTCCCCTTTCAACGGCGATTTTAGCTTTGAGAAAAGCCAGAAGTCGCAGGGAGCCAAATCTGGGCTGTAGAGGGGCTGAGAGACCTCGGTGATGCGATGTTTTGCCAAAAAATCCTGCACGAGACATGAAGAATGGGCAGGCGCGTTGTCATGATGAAGCTGCCAGTCACCACTTGCTCACAGCTGCGGTCGTTTTCTTCTTCCCGCATCCCTCAGCCGGCGAAGAACTTCGATGTAGTACTCCTTCGTTATTGTTTGGTCATTGTAAATGCGACGGTCACACAGTACCCACGCTCACTCAACGGTGGCTGCCGGGCAACTGAGTTGTCCCACGGGAGTGTGGCTGTTCATGCATGCGCAGTACGGTCTTCTCTGAGTGGCTGCCAAGTTACGTCAAGGCCGCGTGACCAGTTCTCACAATATTCACAATGGCTGGATACTTTCCGAACAGACCTCGTATATAGACACAGAATAATGTATGCAATACAAAATTTAAATATTTTGAAATATAATAAGGTTTTAAGGTATTTAGTTTCCAGTATACAGTGGTCTCTCGATTGACGAACACGATTAGTTCCACAGAGTTGGTTGTTAACCAAAAATTTCTTTAATTGAATCTATTATTTCAATGGAACCGATTACGGTTCCAACTCACAGAAAAAGTATACATACAAAGTACTGTACTGTATACCGGTAATAGAATTAACAAAACATTATATATAAACTAAATACAGTACTGTACTGTACAGTATACTGTACAATAATAAATAAAAAACAGAATACTGTATTTTAACTTACTTTGAGGTGTTTTTGTCATATTCCTGGCAGCTTTGTTTACATATCAAATGGCTCATTGTAGAGGCAGTCGGTGATGACATGCCATATTCTTTACAGAGTGCATTGGTTCTAATGCCTTCTTCATGTTTCACAATAATTTCTGCACTGTGTATTATCAATATGTTAACTAAATTTCAGAATGACCATTAATTTTAATATAAAAAATGCAAAAATCTTCAAGAGCACAACTTTCTTGATATTTACTCCACTGGAAACGAATGTAAACATGGAACCGATTACTGTATTGGCGGACTAGCAGATCAGCTGATGCGTGCACCAAAGCGTGTTTCTCGTAAAGCTGTCGTTAATAGAAGTTGTACTCGTTAATAGAACTGAAAATCCTTATGGGCGCTAATTCGTTAACCGAAATTTAGTTAATTGAACCGTTCATTAATCGAGGGACCACTGTATACAATAAACATCAACTAGCAGTCTTTTTACCTTACAATTTTCTTCTGTACAGACACAAGTACCAGAAGATTATACTTTTCCAGGAAAATTTATTAAAACAACATTCTTGTATCCTAATCCAGAGCTTAGACAATGCTTTACTATTATCTCTCGTTGTATCCACAAATGAACGATATTTTATGCCTTAGCATCTTGCTTTGCTCTCCAGTGAAAAGTTTACTAATGACTCATGTTTTTCGCCAACAGATTAGTGGTAATTCAACAGGGCATTCTAACCCTACCCACAACACCAGCAACAATAACAACAATAATAACAACAACATCAGCTTTGGTGGCACGGGTATAACAGGGAGCTTGCAAGGTGGTCCAGGGGGCAGCACTCACAACTCTTCGGCTGTAAACGGCAAGAGTGGCGGCCCGGGAACTAACGTTGGCTACCCATATATTGTAATGGGGCGCGACGATAGTGACATAGGTGCCCTCCTAGGACGGGGCTCACAAGTGGGAACTTTCTTGGGACTGACACACACTAGTGCTCTCTGTGGGCTGCTGGAGGTAGAGCCACTCCACTTTACACTCCACATGGCAAGTGATGGCACCAAGATGGAAAGAGCATCAACAGGTATGAATATTTGTTGTCTTGTTTGTCTTGTTTTAGTTTCATCTGTTATAATTAGTGAGGGGAGTGGCACACAACCAAAGTTCCCAAAACATCCTGTCACTATACTGTATATTTTTTATTGTCCTGTCTCTTTCTTATGTCCTCTTCTGTTTTCTCCTTTTTGCACCTGCTACGTTGCCTCTGTACACCCTCAATACCATCCTCTCCTGTTGCAACCTTCTCACACATCAATACCATTTTAGGAAATTGTTTTTGCCCATTCCACCTTCACAGTTTACAACCTGTACCTTCAGCATCATTTCCAATTTCCAGTACTGTACACTGCAGTTATGTACCTCTTCCAGTCATCCATCCTCTGATGCAATCCTCAAGTGACTCCTTTATCTGTAGCTTGAATTAAAAAATAAAAGAAAAAAGAATCAACTTGCACTCAATTGCTATGGTTACCCAAGGAAACTGAAACAAATATGAGCAAATTCAGGTCATATTGACTTCATGCACTTTGTTTCCTGTGTAGCTGCTGTCACTGCTGATCAGCTTTTCTCTGCCTGCATTCTTAAACAAAACACAAAAGTGTTTTCTCCACTGGAGACTTCTGAGATATACTTACCAGGCTTACCATAGATATGAGTGTTATGATTTAGGTAAGGAAAATTTTACACTCACTCCTATGATTTTATGAGGTTTACGGTACTGTTGCTATCACCCCATGAGTTTGGGGGCATTATATTAGGTGGCTTGCTTTAGTACCAACCTTTGGGACCCTTTTATAATAAACAATTTATAATAATCCACATATGATATTACTTGTGAGGACTTGATTAGAAATGAAGGATTGATCCTAGAATCCCATTTTATAATCAATAATGGGTTAAACAACTCCCAGCTTCCTTCAGGTTTATGAGGTTAACTCCTCAGACCTCAGGGTTCCAATTATTGTGAATGGGATCAAGAAATTGATAAGCTCTAAAAATTAGGTAGATTTTCATCCTCATAGTGGATTCCAGAAGAAACACTTGGTATGAAGGTTCCCTGGAAATAGAAATGACTGAAGAGTTTTTGTTCCTAAGCATAAAGATGAATAGTCTGGCTGCCTTAGTTTGACATGGCTACAGAATGACATCACAAGGATCTGCTCAGTGTTTACTTTGAAATTATGGGCTGCTAGGTTTTTCTTAGGATATAAGACTTTTCTATATGGATTTGAATGTTGTAAAACAATCTTCTGTGCTAATTTTATGTGTAGGGTATGTTTATATTGCATTGCATGAGTGGTTACTGAACTTAATGACCAAAGTTGCTGGCTAGTTAACAGGTTGATCTTTAGGGCTAGCATAGTTGGCACTATAGTCATAAAATTTCCCAGCATATAAAGAATCTTACCTTTTATAAGTTAAGTGTATTTTAGATGTGGAGTTTGTCCTGGGCCAAAATGGAGGGTATTTATTTTCCTTCAGAGTTAGTTATCTGTTATGTATTTATTTATTTATCTACACTACTGTATTATTATTTTTTTACTGTTTTCTTGGTGGCCAGTGTATGTTAATTCAAGTAGTGATGTTAGCTTTTTGTGTCAGTGTACTTGTAGCTATAGGACAAGTGTTTTTTTATCAAGGGCTGATTCAGCAAACCACCTCAAAAATGCTCAATTACTGACACGTAGAGAAACTTATGTACAGGTTGTACCTCTCTAGTCCGGCATTCTGTGGTCCGGAACGATTTTAGTTTGCCCAATAACCGCTACGCGGCGTTGGCGGACTGGCGGTTGGAAATCAAAGTTTGTTTACATCCGGCAGTTTGGCTTTCTCCCTCTCTGTTTGTCAAAACAGAGTACTCTACAACATTTAACCCTTCAATATGTCTTCAAAGAGACCACGAAGCAGTGAAAGTGGTGCTAGTGCTTCCAAGCGAAAGCACAGGTCACTATCTATCCAGGAAAAGGTTGAACTATTGCAGAAATTAGATAAAGGTGCATCGGTACGGAGCTTGTGTGAGAAGTATTACTTTTTCTTATTTATTTATTTCCTATCATATGTTTTTATGCTTTATGTAGGGTGTTTCAAGGGTGAATTTCCATGGTCCGGAAATTTCCATGGTCCGGCACCGGTCAGGTCCCGAGGTTACCGGACTAGAGAGGTACAACCTGTACTAAGTTTTTGGCACATGGTTTTTAGTTTATTTGTATCACTGGCCTGCACTGAAATATGAAAATATGGATGACATTGATTTTGAATTGTTTGTTGGCCCAAATTACCACTTCATCTATCTAAGTCAGTACAAATTGTATCTGAATTAAAATTTATCTTGTCTGAATATTTGAAGCAGTGTAATAAAAAAAATTTTGAATTGACTTTAATTCCTCTCTAAATATAATAGCATTTATTTTGCAACTCAAGGACAGTGCAAAATGATCTGTTAACCAGCCATCGTCTGTGGGAGTGTCATGTTTCCTGCATTCCAGTTTTGTACATATGGAGGGTGGGGGGGTACAGATTAAGGTTTAATATGGTTGCATTAAGTAAAGTAGAGGTAAACATGGAGGAGTGATACTGGATCAGATAGAGGATATTATATTATATGGTTCTAGAGAGAAAATTGAATTGTAAGGTGAGATTAGGTGAATGTTCGTGGATGAGCAGGACATGGAAAGTGACTATCATTTATAGAGGTGAAAATACACAGTAATAAATGAAAGGTGCAGGGAGAGTGAAACTAAATAAAGTATTGATGGTAAATTATTTCATGATGGAATGAATGACAAAATTAAGCAAGTTATGCATGGTAAAGGAAAACTACTGCAAGCATGGCAGAGATCATGTATCGTTCCCTTGTATAAAGGAAAAGGGGATAAGAATTGTGCAAAAATTACATAGGAATATATCTTGAGTAGACCAGGGAAGGTGAATAGAAGTGTCATTATCGAGGGAATCGTTACAAAAACAAAGACCATATCAGTAGAAGAGCAGTGAAGGTTCAGAAGTGGAGAAGTTGTGGGATGTCTGGACACTGTACCTAGAGTTCGTTCGTGTTGTCATCTTTCATCTTCCATCTGCTGCTTCCCGCACACACACACTCAGTTTTATATGCATGAAGCTGTACCTCATCAGCCTATTAGACAGCACAACACTACTCCCACATACTTACATACACAGCAATTTGTCATCCTCCTCCACCCAAAGCATTCAACCAAACATCAGCATTCTGTTCAAACTACCACCAGGTATCCAACTTTTAGAAATCACTCATCCCTGAGAAATGAATGTACGTTTTACCAGACTGATTTGCGGTCTCAATTATTTCTAAAACTAATACAGTATTAGTGCAAAATTGAAATCCAATCTGTCCTCTTTGTGGCGCTGCCCATCTGTTCACCACATCTCCAACAATCGCCCAAAACAGTTAATACTTCAACATAACTACCTCAAAAGATCTCTTAGAATGACTCGTGGTTGTAGCCAAGTACCTGAGGTTGTGGGTTTCACGCCCATAAAGCAGGGGTGGCAACAACCGAGACCGTCACCAATTTACCCGTTTCTTAATACACTGAACCCTCATTATTTTGCCCCTGTTTAATTTAAGGTTTACACTAATTTGTCTGGATTTGGCATTGCAAATCTGCTCAAATCACCTTGCACATGTTGCATCAAGGTGGATGACTCGGGTGGCCTGGGAAGAGCACACACAAGTTTGGTGTCTCATACAAAGCTACATATAAGGCAGTTTTACAGTAAACATAACTTTGCCTAAGTAAGCTTCAATAATTTGGGTTTCAGTAATGTTTGGAGCAATCTGCAGTCAAAGCCATTGATAAAAAATGAGGAAGTTTCACCAATGAGATTCACACTCATTGGTATCACTGCTCTTTGCTGCGGGCATAATTGTGTTTATGTATCTTAAGGCATTTTTAGATTAAACATGATTTTGCTTGGGTACTCAATTATTGCAGCTAAGAGCCTAATATTCATTTGTATAAACAGAATTTTGTGGGTTAAATGTACTGTACTGTATCTGCATCATGCCAAAATGGGTGAAAATTGAGGAAATTTGTGTTGACTCAGCAAATCCTATTTTTTGACAAGGCCAAAGCCCCCAGGGTGCCAAATTGTCGACGGTGTAGTGGATGTCCAAACTACCATAGTAAATTCTGGTTTGCTCTTTGTCTGACATTTCTTTCATTCACACATCATATATCTGTACATCTTGTTCTTTGCATCCTTCACCTCAGATGTTCCTCTCTAGTACATGAACTCTGTCAGTTGTAACTTCTTCCTCTAGCATCCTGAGTCCATGCTTCACACATGTACAGTAATGTTAGATGAACACTCCACTGCCTCCTTTAACAAAAAGTACTTGTAAATCAGTTTTAATGAATTTGTTACATTAAGTTAGATAAATAGTTGTTAGAAGTAGGATATCTCATTTTCAGTGTTTGTGGATTTGTTACATTATTTTTTTTTTTGCTGTACACTTCTAACAGGTGCAGGCCACCCTGGTAGCCCATTTATGATGCAACCGTTCACCATCCCCGGTGGCCTAGACACATCCACCCTGGCCCAAGTAGAAGCTTCCACTAGCAACGGCACAGCAAAAGCTGTTGATGCTTCTGTAACAATGGTAAGATTGCTGTTCTCATTACAATAAAATGACTGCTGCCATGTGCATATGACATTGATGGGGAGAAAATCTCCAAGCTACTTTCAATGTTTATCGGCTATGGGCTTTTACTTATTTGACCCTATAAAACTTCAAATCTTTCTGAAAACATTATGGAGATATGGCTTGTTTTTAAGCGTTCTCAACAGCTGATAAGAACAAAACAAAACAAACACTTTTTTATGTAGACCGTTTGTGATCAAGTTCCACATTTTACATAATTTGTTGACAAGATTTTATCAAACTGTTGGCATCATAGTTTGCTTAGCTCTTTTATCTTTGAAATGTAACTCCTGCACAGAAGCAGACACAAATTTCAAGGTCAGCTAGTGAATTGGACACTTACCTATTTTGCAGTTACACAAGGCAGTTGAGGACATGGCTGTTAAGAATCAGGCTGTAGAGCTCCTACTTGCCAAGAAGGCAACTAAAACTTACCTTGAGAAGCTGCAGACTCTCAGTGACCAGTTAGCTTCAATGAAACATTGCCTTCAAAAGGTAGACGTTAGAGATGTTTTCTGAAATTCAGATGAAGTTAATAGTGTAAATTCAGCGTTGTAGTTTCAGATGTATGTTGTAGTTGCTGGCAGAGTGAAGAAGTTCGAGCAAAGTGTTTGTTGGAATTATTCATATCTGTTGATTAAGATGTATTTAATGATACTAATGGGGCTAATCAATTTTTACAGGCCAAACAGCGCACACAAAACTTGGCTAAGGTTGTGGCAGCAGAAAACTCAGGCTCTCAGTCAGTAGATCCATTGCTGCCATTGGAAGGAGAGATTAAAGACATAGATGGAAAGGAAGAAACTAGCACAATTTCCTCCAGTAGTTCTGACACTTCACCTGATCATGAAGGACTAAGTGCCATCCTCTTGGCTGAGACCGAGGATGTTACTCACCCGTCTGTGCAGTACATGGGTAATGGTGATGTTGACTTGGATGTATCTGGTAAGATTGACTTTGGCCTTTCATCAGCTGAAAAAGAAGTAAATAGTTCAAAACATACAATACAGCAAAATTCTTACACCAAGAGGAAGAGCGATGAGGATGTCAGCTCTTTAGAGAGTAAGGCCTCGACCCCTTCAGCAGGTCACCCCCCACCAAAGGATAGTGCAAATAATGGAAAGAAAGTTCAATCTGCTATACAAGGAAGCCTTGGAGCACCATGGCAGCAGCTCCTGTCTCTCCCTCCCCAGCAGATGCTTGTTATTGAGAGAATGCACTCAGGAGCACGACGGTTTGTGGTGCTCGACTTCGGTGCTCCAGTTTTATTAACAGGTCAGTTTTCCTTATAATCTATTTTGTCTCGTCCTCAAGACATTAATGCTCTACATATTATATATAGCTAGTAAAAACTTGGTGGATCTTGAGTTTTTGTATCAGGATTGTTTGCATTGAAGCAGTTTGACCAAGGACATTTAGTTTTAATCATGGTTTAATTGGATACATTAGTTATAATAATAATAATTATTGAAAAGGTCAGCAGCCCGAAGGCTGAAAATATACATTGGACAAAAATGACTTATAACATACAAAGACATGGGGTGGGTGGGTCGTTTAACAAAAGCTTTCATTACTGAAAGAAGGAACAATGATTGAACATACAAATTATTATAGTTTACATTTGATGGCCCGGGCCTGGGCTGGTTATGGAGACACCAGGTGGTGAGGTGTTCACGTAGTGTAGTAACTCGTCCTCGGGTGTTGACGTGAGGGATCTCATTTGGTCATGGAGACATCGGGTGGTGTGGTGTTCACGTGGTGTGGTAACTCGTCCTCGGGTGTTGATATGAAGGACCTCACGTGGTCATGGAGACATCGGGTGGTGTGGTGTAGTAACTCGTCCTCGGGTGTTGATATGAAGGACCTCACTTGGTCCTGGAGACATCGGGTGGTGTGGTGTTCATGTGGTGTAGTAACTCGTCCTCGGGTGTTGATATGAAGGACCTCACGTAGTCATGGAGACACCGTGTGGTGTGGTGTTCCGTGGTACAGTGACTCGTCCTCGGGTGTTGATATGGAGGACTTCACGTAGTCATGGGGACACCGGGTGGTGTGGGGTGGTGTCACAGTACCCCACCCTACTGGGTGGTGTTGTGTTATTTCAAAGTCAAGTGTGAAGCCGACCCACTCTTGTTCCCAGGGTGGACTGATTAGCACCTCCTTGTCAGGAGATGGCGGTCAGTTCCCAGGGGTGCTTATCTCACTGGTGGGTCACGGCTCTCACTGGTACTGTCTAGTGCTGAATTCACTGGCTTGAACACTGTTCATCACTGTTCAACACTGGTCTCACTTCTTTCTGAAACGAAATTGTCACTTTTGATTATGTTGATATCCCGGTGGTGAGGATGGGTCGGGAGAGGGACTTGGGGAATGGGCTGAACATTGGCCAAGGGAGGCAGCTGCTCAACAGGAGCAGCGCCTGAATGGGTCTTGACCCTACGATGGTCAGAGGGGGTGTGGAACGACCCACATCGGGGCCTGGGGGGCGAAAAAAGAAAGAAAAAAGAACAGAACGAAATTGAAAATTGAGAACAAAAAAGGTTATATTGTGTTAATCTTCACCACAAAGATGCCGAAAACCAGCTTTTTAAAGTGAGACAGATTGTATAAGTATAGAAACACAGAAGAAGGCAGAGCATTCCACAGTTTGGCTGTGTGAGGAAAGGAGGTGGTAAACTGAAATAATAGTTGATCTTGTAATTATATGTACACTGAAAATAACTTTGTTGTTCATTGTTTGCAAGTCATGTCATTGTAAATGGGTAAGGTCTTATGGAATCATGGTTAATGTTATTTCTAATTCGATTTTTTTTTCTCATTTTTTTCTGCCCATAATTTTTCAGTATTTTTTATATTTCTTAAACATTGTGTATGTTATAATGAAAGTACAGTAGGTCCTGTTTAATCTGAAGTGATAGTGATCATGGCTGTTTCAGATAAGATTTTTCAGAGAATGGGTACTGCAAAATTTGTACCTCCAATAGTAGGTGATAAACCATTATTATGTAGGTAGTGGTTTTATGTGTGTATTTTGTATGATTAATAGGAGTGTAATTGTTGGGAGAGGAAAAGAAAATAACATTGGTATTCAACAAAGTATCCTCTTATGCATCTGATTAGAAATTGAAGATTTGAAAAATGTAATGTAGATAAGTTAAGTGTTATCTCTTACTACATTTAATGCTGTCAGACATTATTTTGTCGTTAAGTCCTGTACATCACTTGGGGAAAGAATAGAGCAACTAATATGACTAGAATTTTTTTGTACAGTGCATAAATAGGGTTGGTCTGACTGTATACCCATGCTTAATATAATTTATTTTCTGGTGTATGCACATCTGTAGGAAGATAGTAGCATTTAAATTTTGATTATTAACAAAAAATTTCTCTGTGGCAGATGTGGTAATACCAGCCTGTAGTGACTTGGTCTCCCTGAGCATAGACATCTGGATGACTGGGGAAGACATGGATGGAGAGAGGCTGGTGGTGGCTTCTGATATTGGGATGCGGCCATTGATCCTGGCTGACCTCCAACCTCCTCCCCTGTGTAGATACCTCAAGGTGAAGTGGAGATGAGACATGCATAGATTCTTTTTGAGAGATAGACAGAAGGAAGGAGACTGTTTTTTTTCTTTCCTTTTCTTTGTTTTTGGGTGTATGTATATGTGTGGTTTATATAGAATCTATATATTTAATAAAAAAAAATGAAATTTTAAATTAGTGTTTAAATAGGGACAATCATATAGATAACCATAATAGTGTACTATAATACAAAGTTTAAGTGAATCATATTGTTACTAACTTAATCTAATGCAACAGAAGATAACCTAATATAATTTTGTTTTAGTTAGCTTCCACTTCTTAGCGTAGGAGGTCTTCTTATTTCTCTCGCTTGTCATAGTCCATGGCCAGCTTGGGTTGGTGCCCTACTTTTCCTGCACCATCTTGGCATGAAGGGGCTTGTATTTTGACATTGTTTTCATTGTATGCATTACAGGTGACGACTCTTGGAAGATATGGAATGAATACATCATCACAGTGCCGGATCCCAGTCGGAGCCTTTTATGGACACACACTCATCCTTCCATGGCAATTGCAACCAGGCCAACCTCACCCTGCTGTCATGAACAAAGTCTCTGCCCAGGTACTCTACTTTACCCTACTTCTGAGCATAATTGAGTTTCATCTATCTACTGTAAACTTTTGCTTTGAGTATAACACTTAAAGGTCAGTATCCCTGTTAGAATCATTATCATAATTAAATTTTAAAATAAAGTGTATTTTACACCTTGTAATAGTGTTGTTTTACCATGGCAGTAGCAACATGAAATGTGTTGTTGTTTCAGACTCAACTGACAGTGCTTGGGAGTGTGGTGGAGGACATAGGATGTCGGTACAGCTTGGCCTGCAGTAAACTGCGGTCCCTCCTAAACCCTCTCCTTATGAGTCCTACTGCTCCTACGGGTCCACATACCTCTTTTGGTTATTCTGAGATGTCGCCCATTGGCTCTCGGGATGCCAACCTCGAACGCAAAATTACACATGCGTATCATGTATGTTTATATTCAGAAAGTTGTGTGTGAAATAATCTAGGTAAACTGAAGCATTTGGTATATGAGAATAAGTTTTCAGAATAAGATATTTATATACGTACTGTGAATTAGCATAAGAGTTGTCACTTACCAGTACGGTATAAATATTTTTACCGAGGCAGTGAGAGAAACACTTGTTCCTAACTGTATTTTGATTATTTATGTATTTATTTATTTTTTTACATAGGAGTGTATGTTAGAGCAGCAGCACCTGAACCTCGTTGTGTCTGTGATGCGTCGTCTACAGTGCATCGGTGGCGTTGGAGAGAATGCCACCACACCATATTCACCTACATCAGCTAGCTCTAACCACAATAAACAACACTTACTCTCAGCAGTTAATTCATCATCAGACAAACTGGCTACACTAATGCAGTATCTCCTAAATTGCCTTCTTACGCTGTCGCTGCCCATACCTGGCATGTCGGTAAGTTAGATGCATACATCTTCCTGGAGACATTCATGTCTGTGGGGCCCTTTACCATTTTAGTCAGGTCAATTAGCTCAATAAGTACTGTAACTGATTGCCTGTTTGCTTTATGTAACTTAAGGCCAGTTTATGGTGAATTTGATTGAAAACTTTAGAGGTAATAAGGTTGTTACAAAGATGGTAGGTGATGGCTTTCTCTCTTTTAATTTGAATGATTTGATAGTTAATTTTAGTTTTTATTTGTGGATGTGTTTTATCATACAGTAGAAGCCCCCCATATTTCTGTTTACTAATTAGTATAATGTTGTGGGGAGGTAGGATGGTCTAGGTCAGGGAGGGGAGCCGAGAGAAAGATAAGTAAAGTGCAGGGCTGGTGGAAGGTCTTACTTTCACCAATAATACGTACAGATATTTTCTGTAAAGAATCATAACACAAACAACTGGCAGGACACTGATATATCTTTCTGCCTTTTATCCAACTCTTATGCATACTATCTGCAATTACTGTATATGAATGCATGATGTGCTAAGATGGTACAGTGCTTTTCCAATAAGTATTTCTTTTCATACGTCTGTTCATCTTCCCTGTAAGGATATGTCATCTTCAGATGACTTGTCAATATTTTTATTTATTTATTTATTTTTATTAAGTTTGTTGATGTTCAATGAGCTCATGTTGTCAACTGATGTCATTTGTTTGTTGCGTGATGCACATCTTTTCACCCATTTTTGTATTGCTTGTTCTCTTTCATTACTACTAGAGCATTCTCATCCACTTATAAAGTGAATTTCACCCCAAAAATATTTTGTTTTCATAATTTAAAAGCATACTTTGTGATTTCTTTCTCTCCTTATACTGTGTATTCTGTTTACTACATATGAGGGATAATGATGATGTGTGTGAATCTTGACTTTTTAGTGTATGGTCTGTTTGCAGTAAGAAAAAGACTACTGTCTTTGAGTTTAAAATAAGTGTTTGATTACATTTAGTAAATAATTATTTGTCAATTTACAGGTGCCACATAACCTAATGGAGTGGTGTGGGCCAGAGCAGGCCAAGGTGTTAGTGGAGCAAGTGTGTGTGCGGGGACCCAAGGGAGCACAGGTGGGTGTAGCTTCCCTGCTGGCTCGCCTGTGTGCTGGCCAACCTTGGTGGGGAGACTTCCTGGCCAACACCATGACCACACTCTTCTCCTCCACCAACACTCTACATTTTCCTGCCACCAGGTACTGTTTCCTGCCCAGATGTTAAGTGTATCTCCCCTCCCCCCCTCTCCTCCCCTCTTTTTTCTAAGATAGATATACATATATATGGGCTTAATCTAATGCCAAATTGAACTATATATATATATATATATATATATATATATATATATATATATATATATATATATATATATATATATATATATATACAGTGGTCCCTCGTTAACGAACGCCTCGGTTAACGAACGCCTCGGTTAACGAACTGCCTCCCATAAGATTCTTAAATTCGGTTAACGAACAAAAATTCGGTTAACGAATTTCTTACGAACCGACCTCAACATGTTTTCGCTTGCACTGGCCGGTCAACCAGCTTTAGTATTAGTCCGCCAATACATTAATCGGTTCTAGGGCTTAAATTCATTACTATTTTAATAAATATCAAGAAGTTTATACTATTCAATAATTTTAAAAGTTTAATATTCAATTTTTTAGTCATTTTAACAATTATTGAACATAATTGAAGGTAAAGTGACTAGTTTAATGCGAGGCATCCAGCCTCTTAACACAGCAAACAGGCGTTAGTCTCTCTCTGTTTTCACTGGAGGTAACATCTTGCTTGAGACTCTCTTCAACTAAATGCTTTTTTTCTGTGTTTTCAACCAAATTATTGGTCATTTTGAAATACATTTTACATATTGACAATATATAATGCAGTGCAGTGTTGATTTAAAGAAAATAATCTTGAAATACACCAGAACTAAAATTTTATGGGTGAAATGGTGCCATGGGGTGACTTCTCTTCCACCCCAATGCCTTCTCTTCTTCCTTCTCCTCCACCCCCATTCTAATTCCCATCATCATCATCATCATCATCACCCAGGAGCCTTCTACATATACACCTCAAAGTAAGTGAACTTTTCTACCATTTTTGTTGAATTTAGGCAATTTTCGGTGAGCTGGAACCAATTACCCAAAAACCCATTGAAACAATGGTTTCAGTTCCCGAATGTTTCGGTTAACGAACAACCTGCGGGAACGGATTGTGTTCGTTAACTATATATATATATATATATATATATATATATATATATATATATATATATATATATATATATATATATATATATATATATATATATATATTTATATATATATATATATATTTATATATATATATAGTTATTTATTTATTTATTTATTTATTTATTTATTTTATTTATTTATTTATTTATTTATTTATTTATTTTAGTCCATATAACATGCGGACTTGAACATATAATCAACGACCTCACCAGCCAGGACTCAAACCATAGACCTTATGCGTGTGACCAGGGAACGCTGACAACCATGCCACAAGGACACTAAAAGCATTCCTAAACTATGTTATATTTCACACAAAGCCTGTTCACGACCGCCCCAGGCGTACCAAAATTTTTTCAAATTACGTATTTTCGAGTCCTGACATTAGTGATTGCACTGTGTACTGACAAAATTTTTGTTTGTAATTCCCTTTAAAATGGCTGGCATGCTTAAAAGTGAGAGTTTTATGGTGCTGAGAAGAAAAAGAGACACCAATTTTAGATTTTCTATGTATTATCTTCGCATTTTCGACTTACAACCTGGATTTGAGTCCCTAACCCCGTCGTAAGTCGAGGAGTGGCTGTATTCAGGAACCTCTTGATTTATGCGATAATTACATTCTTGAAAATGGTCATAAATTAAGACACGTAAATAAAAACAATTTATATAGCGGAGATTGGGAGGGTTTGTTATTAATAAGACAGTACCCAATATTATACCAGTAAAAATATACAGTATACAGTATGTAAGCTGACAGGAATATTTTCATGAAATTGGTGTTGAATCCATGTGCTCATCATTACACTTTTTCACATATCCGTTGAGACATTGTTACATAACTATT